ATTGAAGGCTTTTCACACTCTGGTCTCTAACTTTTTCTTCTTATACTGCCTTTGCACATTCCTCGCATTTTGATTAAACTGGACTCCATACTAAATATACTCTTCTTTTTCTTCTTGTAAGCATTTGCCCATGCTGATCCTTATTCCTAAAATGCTCTTCTCTCAGCTCCAATTCTAAGAACCCAACAGCCACCTTGGATCAAGATTCCCTGATTTCTTCCAGCATCTCCTATCCCCTTGCCCCCACACATTTTGCCCTTCTCAGAATTGCCATATCGATTTATTTGTATCTCTCTGTCATTGAGCCTGGAGTAACTTATGTTCTTCTCTTATCTTCCTCTTAGGACATTAAGTTCCTTGAGGTCAGAAACTATGGTATATTTTAATCACTTTTATATGGCCAAAGCACTGCACCTTGCACAGAGTACAGGTGGAACCAACATTTTGGAGATTGGATGTTAGAATTCAAGCATCCTTCCACCAAGTTGTACAATTTCCTCCTTTGGGATGGTCTCCTCCCATTATTCAACTTCTCATCTTTTACCCTTGGATCTTCAGAGAGATGACTGTTTTGAGCTAAGACAAGGAATAGAAGAAAAAATGCAAACCAGGTCTTAGAGCTAGCCAATTGGAGATGGGATCTCTGTCCTGAAATGCGAGTGCCTACTTCATCTAATTGACTAATCCCACCCACCCCTTCACTCCCCCAGCTTAGAAGTTGTATCACCTCAAAGTGACAAAACATCCTAATCAAGCAGCCTTCTCCACAATGAGGTTCAGGTGGCCCAACTGGTTCCTGGCGTAATAGGGAGGTGCTGGAACATGGAGTAGTGCTACCAGAACAAAGCAAGACCTTATTTAAGAGTGGGCTGCTTTACCCAACCTAATGCAATGCACACTAGATGGCAGGCCTAGAGTGGGAGGGCTACAGTCATTCATGAACAATCTTTATGAACTCCAGAAGCACTTCAGTTCAATTCTAATGATGCACCCACACCCCAGTACCTGACACCCTGTATCTCTTTAGACTTAGGAAGCCTCCTCTGTTTTTATAATGACATCTCCCCCTTTTCAGAGCTATCTGAGGAGACAATGCTCAAGGGATGCTCACTAAGCACAGATGACCTGTGACAATGGGTGCCATATGCAGTTGGTGCTACTGGAGGGGACAAGTGAAAAAAATGACTGCAGTGGGTGGAGTGTCTCCCAAAACATTTTCTGGAGGACGCAAGTTTTCATGTGTAATGAATTCTTACTAATTAGTTAACAGTGACTGAAAGAGCTTATTAACCACCATTCTATCAGCATGGAGTCAACTCCAGGAGCAAGAGGAATGAAGAATCGACAAAAAGAGAACTGCTATTGTAAAATCAACTGTAATTAGACATGGTAATGCAGGAACACTTTGGTATCTAAAGCAACAGATGATCCCAACACCATCTATTTGGCTCTAGAGTTCGTTAGCAATAAACTGACTTCCCTGTTTTCCTCTCCACCTAATAGTAATACTGTTAATAATAATAATGTTAGCCAATTTATTGATGTCTTACTATGTGAAAGCCTTGTGCTTAGTGCTCTACATGCATGATCCCACTGAAATACCAATGATTCTGTGAGGTAGGTACTGTAACTATTCACTTTCTTTAGATAGTGAGACCACGGCACTTAGAGGTTAAGTAATTTACCCAAGTTTACACGGACAGTGTGTGGCAAAGCCACTGTTCAAACCCCAAGATTCCAGAGCTTGCATTTTTATTGCCTTTTTGCTATTCTGTGGAGTAGTACCCTACAAAGGGCTTCAGCCAGCCCATATACACCTTGAGTGAATTAAACCCATGCCTTGAGAGCTAGGGACACAAGCTGCATTTAGTCCCCATTAGCCTCCTTACTCAGGTGTCCTTTGTGGTATGCAGCCTGCACAGCCATAGGTGTCAGCTCTGAGCATATATGTATCAATTTAAATGAATTCAACTGTACACCTCTGGCAAAATGAAAAGAGTGAGCTAAGAGATTAGTGGCATTCAATGAGCATATGCCCCAGAATGAAACTGCAATTGCCTTAGTTTCCAGATGCTTCATATAGTATGAACATCTTGCCACACCAAGTATGTATTTAAAGATATTGCTAGTTCTAGTTATAGTGTTTAAAGATAGGTACTTTTTATAATTCTTCTAAACACAAGCCAGCTACTTCATGTGCACAACCGAAGAAATTCTGTTCTTGTGCTGGAGAAAAAAAAATGGCTGTGCTAGACTTATGATTTAATTTGGTGTGTTACTGATGGAATTTCAAGTACAATTTTGGTTTTGCATGACATGCCGTAAGTGCTAATTAGTTGTCTCCAAACTCTTCGCCCTTCCCCCATCTATACTGTCTCAGTGAGTTTGTTTTTCCTGAATGTCCAGTGTCCAGTTGTAGAGCAGGTAGGAGAATTCTCACTGGGAGAGAGTCCCAGGAGTTTGAGTAATGGCTGGCGGGAGAATCAGCCTGGGACTCCACACTTCTTTGGGTACGTTACATCGGTTTAATGGTCAGGCAGAGCCACAGAGCTGGCTCTACATCCAGCCCTTTTCAAGTCTGGTTGATCTCTTAGTTCCCTTTTTGAGCATACCAATAAACCCACATTTTTCCATAGGCCTGCCCCAACCTCACCACAGGTCTGTCAGAACTTGAATGTGGGTAGAAGATAAGGCCCAGCCCTGATTGCTACATTACAGGCACACCTAGGAGTTGGGAGCTGGCCTACCGGGTTCAGGGAAGGAATGGGGGATTTGAAGTGATGCACACTGGGGTATCAGGGCCTTGGTGAACACCCAGGTGACAAGCCTTGGAAAGAAAGGGGGCCAAGATGTGGAGTATGGGGTCATGTGACATATCGAGAGGCATAGCTCAGAGTGTCTTGTCCCATCCTTTCCACCCGCGTCGATGTTAGTATCACACCCAAGAAAGTAGTCACATTGCCCAGCAGGTCTGGTTTGTTCCTTTGCCGTCCACCCTCTGTCTCCACGTACCCTTTACTTAAAGTTCTCTCAGAAAGACTTTCTGTACTGATCCAACTTAAGTCTGTTCTCTCCTTTCATTCTCTAATTCATGAATATTTATAGAACAGCCACTTGGCTCTTGGTGCTGGCAATTGAAGATGGACACACTACCTGTTCTGTGGAGCTTATGTTCTGGTGGAAAAAACAGATCATAATTTTTTTAAAAATTAGGAAACAAGATAATTTCAGAGAATGAAAAATTCTGTGAAGCAGTTAAAATAGGGTGATGTGATACTGATTATGTAGGTATCCTCAGCTAAGCTGGGCTGGTAAAGGACATGTGAATTTAGACCTAAAGCTCCAAACTGCTGAAGATTTGCGGTTCCAGGGACTGATAATAGCAGTGTTCCCCAAGGGTCTGTCTCCACAGGTCTGGGATGACAATGGAGAGGGAGGCCAGAGCCAGATCACCCTATGCCTCTCTGAGCCGTGGTGAGGAGTTGGGATTCTATTCTAGGGCTAATGAAAACCTCACAGAGGATTCTGGGCAGGGGATTCTCCTTGGCTCTCATGGGAGAATGGATGTGAGGGCGGGGAATGAAAGGACATTGGGAAATTGCTTCAGAGGTCCAAGTAGGAGGAAGTCCTTTACACGAGAGGGCCTTAGCCTGCTTCAGGTGGTACTTTAAAGGGCTGCTTTCAGCCCCAAGAGTCCAGAGCTATGTTGAGCACATCAGCTTCTTCCATAATCCCTCAGGGACTGGCTCCAGGAGATCTGAGTTCCAGCCAGTTCTGAAATCTCACCCACACTCCAGGAAGCTAGCTGTCAGTCACCCTGAAGGATTGAGCATTGGCCCTGGGACAGCTGTGTTCTCTCCCTTGTGGCCACAAGGGGGTGCTGCAAGGCTGTCCCTATACAGTTGAAACCCAAGACTGTTCAAAGCAATAGCCAAAATTACAGGGATATAAGTGAAAATAGAATGTAGGACAAAGGAGTCATCCTCTCCTTTCTCCCAGTCAGAAGGATTTGATCGAGTTGGTTTCCCAAAGTCCATTTTAGGCATTTTTTTCATTTATCAATATTCGAGGCCTGCCCTAGCTTGTGCCAAGCCCTGTGCTATGCACTGAGGTTGGAGTAGTGACCAAGGCAAACAGGTCATACCCTTAGAAAACTTGTAGTCTCAGAGAGAGTCACTCATGTTAGCAGGGTGTTGTATGTCCTCCTTTACTTCCTGTGTCCCTGCACGGATGTCAAGGATGAGGGACACACAGTCCCTTAATTTGGACACACAGTATGGCCTTAAATAGGACTTCGGCTCAGAGAGTAACTGGAGACTCTCAAGCCCTGTCCTCAGAGTTCCTGGGCTTATAATAAGCCTGGGCTCAGCCTGTGCCCAGAACCTCTGCCTGTCTCATTGGTGCATTGGTGGAGTACAAGTGTTCTGCTGCCCCTCTGTATCCTGGAGACACAGGGCTGTTGCATGTGAGAAGATGCTGGATAGAAATCACTGCCCCATCTTCCTAAACAGGTCCACTCAACTGTCCCTTCATCCACCCTTCAGTGCATTTATGAGGCTAAGGCATATTCTGTACCCACCCCTTGCTCTTGTCCTTGCCCCCTCCCATGCCCTCTGGGACTAGTGTCTTCCCTTTGAACAGGCTCTTTACTCCCACTTTCCTATTTGAATAGCTCTCTCATTGCTTTTCAGGCTAGCAAAACACCTGTGGCTGCTTCAAGGGCAGTAAGCATGGTATGCAGATATAGGTTGGGCAAAGATCATTTTTTACAGATGGGGAAACTGAGGCCTACTAAGATCCACTAGCTACTTCTTGTCAGGACTACTCAGGTCTTATCTCTCAGCCCACCATTTTGTACGTAAGTCTCAGGAGGAAGGCAGATTATCTGTCCCTAAACCACTCTTCCATCCTCCTTGATCCAGGCTAGCAATGTAGTAGTAAAGAAATCTTAGAGAAACAAGATCCATGTTTTATTTCCACAGAGAAATTCAAAAGTGGGAAGCTTCTCCTGAAGGATTGTCAGTGACTTCAGGTCACAAATGGAGTAGGTAGAGAAAGTGGCTGGTTCATTTGATGAGGCTGGTGGTCAAGGAGACACCGCATTGAGTGGGAAGAAACAAGGGACAGACAGACCAGGTCTGTCTCCCCAACCTAGAAAGAGCAGATGTCAACACCCAGACCAAGTCTGGCACAGAGGGAGAGCTGGGGGGGTGCAGTCAGTATCCTTGAAGACTGAAGTTTTTCAGGGCTTCAGGCATGTTAGGGGGTAATTTTCTAGAAGAAAAGCAAAGAGCAAATGGTAGAATGTGACTTGAAATCAGGTAGCTTCCCATCCAGTCTCTGCATCCCCACAGTTTTGCTGTGTCTCACCCATCTCACCTGCCATCCCTCACTGTGCTATCCCCTAAAATGGGTTGTGTCCTTCTACCAAGTTAATCTATTACCTCTCCCCACTCACTTCTTTTTGAGGGCGAGGGGACTCACTTCTTCCTGTCTCTGACACTTTACACCTGAAAGGTTCATCTCCCTGCAGTTTCCCCACACAGTTCCCATCCAGTCCCTCTTCTTAATCTAGTGTGCCATTCTTCTCCTACTCCTCCTTTCCCTGCATGATCCCACTCTATCAGGCCTTCGCTCAGCACACAGGTGCTTTCTGAGTAGGTCATATCTTATGAATTTTTCTCCACAACCCCACACTGGGTTGCCCTCCTCTGTACCTTTAGAGCATCCACCCAGAGCAAAGGAAATACCATGACTCCAGCCCTGCCACCCAGTGACCATGCTTCAACTCCTGGATGCAACTGAGCAGGGCTCACTCTAACACTCACCTACCAAAACTTCACCCACTGCAGCAGGCCAGGTTGCGCCCGGGAAGCCTGCAGGACAGGGAGAATGTCTAAGTAGACATCACACTGTCCCCTGCACAACCTCTGGCCTCAGGCCCCTTTTCTCACAAGCTGGAGTTTCTTTGCCCCAGTACTTACTGAAGAAGAAACTGTGACTCCCCCCTGTAAAGAGAAGATCAGAGTAGGTGATGTGGAGACTACAGTGACATCTCTGAATTCTTCCATGTCTGTAGAGCTCAGGAAGGGCCCAGTGGAAAGGGCAGGCTCAAACCAGGTTACCTCAATGACCACGAACATTCAGCCCATGGAATTTTTTTCACAGCAGAACTTATCGTCCTAAATACATTTTACCTGAGATGATATGAATGTGGTCCCTTAGCACACACTGCCCACAGGGAGTGAACAAGAATAGGTAGATCCCCCTCTGCCTACAAGGCAGATAGAAATTGGCCGCCAATAATTGGCAAAGTGGATACCCACAGGTGGTATGAACTGCCTATTCTCCTGTCAGCAGAGAGTTTCTGATCTCTCAGTGGAAGTCCTCTCTGTGAGGTCAGGGCTTTATTGTTCTGAGAGGTGGAGGGAAATACCACCTGTTTGGTTTATAGCCCAATTAGTGTTTGGCACATTTATTACTAAATTAAGATTGCTTTCTTTGCAACTGAACGCAACAAGGAAATGTCTTTCCTTTTATTTCTTTTGTGGAATGAGGCATTTATTTCCCACCAACCAAGAGTTCCTAGGCTAGCCTCAACTATTCTTCTCCCACTCTACCCCCAGCACCCACAGAAGGACAGCAGATAAAGAAGAGAGTGAATACTACAAAGGAAGGCTGTTTTGCCATGTTTCACGTAATTTTTCTGAGGAGCCTATTTCTCTTTCAGAGAGTAGTGGTCCACAGTTTTCTCTGTGATGTAGCCACTGCTTTCTTGTAACCTTTTCTGGGTGTGGGTGTGAAGAGCCTTCAACTTCCTAGCTAACCCACATAGAGCACCTTGGTAGCAAAAGCTTCCCCCATCCCCTCCATGCAGAGACCCCAATGGGAAAAACAGGACAGTTGCCAGTCTTACCTTAGCAGGGATCTTGGCTGAGTATTGCCCACTAGAGGGAGTAGGATATGCCTGCTGGTTATAATTGTAGTTCTGCAGGAGAAAGTAGAGGACAGTGGGTAGTGGGGGCAGTGCAGCACAGAAGGAATGAAAGCATTTTGCTCTGGAATAAACACCCCACCTCCCTGCCCTGCCTGGAGATTTCTTAGACCCCTTGCGTCCCAACCCCTGGCAACCCCCTCCCTTGCCATGTGTTTTCCAGAGTCCCCTTTAGCCACCCCATAGCCCACACCCTCACTTCTTTATGGTCCTAGCCCACATAGCTCTGCCTCCTTCCCTCTCCCAACTCAAGTGTTACATGGGAGGTCAGGGAAGGAGATCAGGGAAAGAAGTGAGGTCTAAATCAGGTGGTCACATGGTAGATAGCTTACCTTAGAAGTTACAGCTGGTACTTCTGGCCATCCTGCCCCAGGCTGAGAAAATTACAGAGCAGAGGAGTGAAGGAAGAGAATTTCAGATTGGCCAGACCCAGGAACAAGACTGAGAGGGACCAAGGGCCCACGAGGTCAATCTGAGGGCAGAGACTTACCTGACCAGCACTGCCTGCCCTCTTCTGGAGTGACGATGAGGGATTGACACCCTGTGAGGAAGACAGAGCCACAGTCAGGATGTCTCCATGGTCCTTCAGGCCTTGATTTTTGGGACTCCAACATCCTTCTGCCTAAGCTCTGCCCTCCATTAGGAGCACCAGCATCCCACCTGCCCCATCCCACCTGTCTTCAGGGTTCATAAGTGCTGCCTACAGAGAAGACAGTGAGCCTAGACGAAACTGATGGCCCAGATGGATACAGGCAGATTTCCACACTTAGTGTTGGGGGGTGAGGGTAGAGATCTGGGTTAGCAACACCATTCCCATCCAGGCACCTGGAATGTTGGCAGCCTGGCCTGAGACCAAACTAGAATGACAAATGTGGGGTCACAGGCCCCTTGGCCCCAGTCCACCTTTTGCTGACACCAAACCCCACTTCTATCACAGGCTTTGTTATTCCTCGTCACAAATGCTGTTCCCACAGAGGCAAAGTGAAGTGTATAACATTACCTCAGGATCAAAGAGAAAGAAAAGGAAGAACTACAAGGAAGCAGATGAAGGTACTTAAGACACACCATAGATGCACTTGCCACCTCCCCTCCCCCAGCTGAGGCAAGGGGAAATTTCTAAGCAGTGGGAGAGAAGTTTAAGCTTCTTCCATCATCACTTCTCTACTAGTAACACCATCACCACCATCTCTCATACACTCACCGTTAGGATGTTCTTTTTTTTTTTAACTTTTTTTATTTTATTTTATTTTATTATTATTTTTTTAAATTTTATTTATTTATCTTTAGAGGGGAAGGGAAGGAGAGAGGGAGAGAAACATCAATGTATGGTTGCCTTTCATGCGTCCCCTGCTGGGAATTGGCCTGCAAGGAACTGGCCTGCAACCCAGGAATGTGCCCTGACTGGGAATTGAAGGATGTTCTTAACTCTGACACAACGCTCTACCTTTTCCTTGCCTGACACCGAGTGTTAACCCCACTATTAGCCCTAACACTGGGGTCACAAACTGGTTGACCACATGCCTCTGGACATTTTTTACTTGGTTTGCATTTTTTAATTAATTTAGTTGTGAGCAATTAAAATCATATTTTTAACTTTTCTTGAGGAATCAGGTGATGTGGCCACACTGGTGCATGACAACACTCAGCTGGAAGGCCTTGGCCTCCTCCTTTGCATGGCCCTACCTGTCCAGCCTCAGATGCCTGGCCCACGTGGATGAGTGAGTGGGAAACCCTTGCCTCGGTGCTAAGGGATCTGATCCCAAAGGCCACAGTTCATGCAGAATTGAGGCATGGCTTTCTGGCAAACCCAGAGGGCCTGCCAATCCTTTCCAGAACCCAGATATTCAGACCCTGTGCATCTGCCTACACTTGACAATGACCTAATCCCCTACCCCCATACCTGCTATTTCTCTTCAGCCTTCCTCCCTAGTGCCCCCTTTCCAGTTCTGAGGTCCTTCCTCACCTCATAATCCCCATTACCTACCTGCTCACCCTGCAGTACCCAGCCAGCTGTGGCTCCCTCCAAGCCAAGCAAAGCCCAGCAGGAGCAGCAGCAGAGTGGAAACAGTAGCCAGCTTCATGTCCCTGTGCCTGTCAGGGCCCCAACCCTCGGCCTGGGCTTTTATTCTAGGGAGGACCTGCCTCCCTGCTCCTTCTTCAGTGACTCACAGCTTCTCTCTCCCACTCTTCTCCCACGCAGCGTTGCAGAGAGGAAAGTGGGAAGAAGGGAGGCACCCTTCCTCAGCCAAGAGGATGTAGAACTGGGACACAATGTGCAAGCCATTGCCAAGAACGCAGAACCCCACCTCCCCAGCGATGAGCTTTCTGACCCTGAAACAAGAGGTTCTGCCACTCTTACCTCAATAATTGCTTTCCAGTTCAAGAAAGGAGTGTTGTGTTTGAAATCCTAGAGGAAGAAGGAGGGATGAGTGGGCTACATGGAGACAGAATTCAGAGGGTGGAGTACAGCAGCTCACTGGGAAAGTTTCAAGACCACATACAAGAATGAGTTTAGGAGACCAAGTGTGGTTGAAGGTAGATGAAGAGAAGCTTATTAAGGGTGTTAGAATTCCTGGTGGTATTAGTGATAAGATTTGGGTGATATTACCCATCTCAAAAATAAAAAGAGGGGGAATTTTGTGAAAGGTAGGCTCAAGCTGGGGGTTGGCTGCCTTGAGGGAGGTGGAGAGAGAGACAGGATGACCAGGATCCCAGTTTTTTTTTTTTTAAATGAGAATTGTCCTACCTCCCAAAGTCGGCTGAAGTAAAGGAGGGCTCGAGTGCTGGGAGATGGGAGTTGGCCCTGTGGATGAAAAGTCAGGAGCAGGTTTAGCAGGGAATCTGACCCCCTGATCACCTAAGCCCCTACTCCAGCTCCCACCATTTTTCAGTCTTCAGAATTGCACTGTGATGAAGGTTTGGCTTGGGGCAGGGGGCTGAGTGTCTTTAGGGACTAGAAAACTACTTTTGCAAGCAGAAGAAGAAACTAGAGCTATGGCACCATTAGCCATCTTTCCTGCCCCTAATACATACACAGTGTTCTTCTCTATCCCATTTCCCCCTCCTGTGGCTGAACATAACTGCAGCAAAACCTCAGGACAAGGACCTGCACTCAGAGCTTCCTGCCTTTTCACCTGCCATGCCATCTCCAGCCCATTTTCCAAAGCTGTGGGGCTGAAGCCACCCTTTGCAACACCCCCCCCCAGGAGAACAGTGGAGATGTAAGAAAAGGGCAGAGACAAGGAGTGTGGGGCAGCTAACATTTATTGCAAAGGCAAAGATTGAGATTAGTGGTGAGATAGTGTTGTTTTTAGAAGGGGTGGGAGACTCCCAACCATCTGGCAGCTCCTTGTCTGGAGGTCAAGGGATGGGAAAGTTCCTCTTCTCCTGGGCAAAAAAAAATAGGCTCTAAGAGGGAGCTTAAGGAATAGGACTTCAGGGTGTAATGGGCTAAATCGAAGTTATATTAGACCCCTGCTCCAGAAATCTGCAGGGACCTTTTTGCCCACTGTTATCGTTCAGTCAAATTCATTCCAGCTTGGGCTTGAAAACACCCATACCTTGCCAGGAATGTTATATACAGTCCCCTGTCTTCAATCCTCACTCTGGAGGAAGTCCTTAGGCCCCCATCACTGACTATGAAGGAGATGGGGCTCACCATTCTCTTCTCTGCCCAACTCGGTCCGGCCCCTCTTCTCAGATCTGCTCCTCCAGGAAGCCACCCCAAATGAATGCTGCCTATTTGCAAGCATGCACTTTACTTCACCCTCTGCCCCCACCAGATCCAGATGTGCAAAAACACTTTGCTGTCTGTCCTGGGCCCCCTGAGAAGTGTCTATACATGCCCTGGTTCTCCCATTAGACCACAAGTCCCCCTTGCTCAGGGGCCTGGCCTCCCCATGATTCACAGTAAGGAATCTTGCTGCTCCAGAGACTGGTCTCTCTAAAACAGAAACAGTCTATGTTGTTCATTTAGTTCATACAAACCAGGACTGTGGCTGCATCTGGAAACATCTGTTATCTCCTATTTTCCACTCTCCCTGAAGTTTGGGCTGTCCCTTTGCCTCCTCCTACCACCACCTCCTTTCCCCCACAAGTTTTGGAAAGCAGGACCCTAGTCTCCAATCTTTTAAGTTAAAAGTTAGAAATTCAACCACACACAAGGGTCATTCAGGTGCTGGGCAGGGGGAGTTTGGCAGCTGGAGAGCAAGCCCCATGGCAAGAAGCAGCTGCTACTCACTTCAGTTTATGTAGCCCATGGAAAGGGGCCCTGTATTGTCATTTTTTTTCAAGAGAAGTCAGAAATCCAAGTCAATTTGTAAAGTCTATCAATTTTTAAACTTTGGCAACTAATTCAAATTGTTGGGGTTTTTTTAATGGATCAAACAAAACATTTAATTGGGCCACCAATCATAGCTTCCACCTTTGGTGTTTGCTTGGATTGTCTGCCCTCATCCTCGCTCTCCTTCTAGTCCACTCCTTCTACTATTCTGGTATTATGTCACCCTGGCCACAGGCTCCCCTACAAGAGAAAGGGGCAGGCAGGGAGGAAGAAGAAAGGGGTCCCCCAAGTGTCCTCTAAGATTATGTGTGTACAGGGCACCCATCAGGCACCCAGCAGATACTTCTTTCTTCTTCTGTCTGTGTCAGTCCTCAGGTGGCCTTTTAGTGCCACCTGACTATTCAGTCTACCCCTGACCCTGGCCTCTGCTGCTTCTTTGGTTTCTTGAGGATTACACCTACTTGTTCTCCCATTAACCTTCAGATCTCAAAGGGCAAACTATGGTTCAGACCTGTTTGGGTCAGCACATTAAGATATGAAAGGACTCATTCATTTCTCATCCCCAGCTCCCAGCTGTTTGCAAACTCTCCCTCTCTTTTTAGATCTCTGTTGTACTTCCTGCCTGCTGTCTTTATTTTTTAAGCACTGGCTCTTCATTGCCATCATTATTATTTCCTTAGTTCACCAAGCAGAGGTTTAGCTTTCTTCTCTATATTCTTCTCCCACGAAGATGGAATGGCATGGCCTTCCAGCCCTTACCTGGTTTATTGCGTCCCAGTTAATGAAACCCAGCTTGGATTTAAAGTTCTGCAGAAAAAAAAAAATGAGACCGGCTAAATTGGCTCATAATGTAATTGGCACAGCACCTCAAGATGTGAGAGGTCAAGGGTCACCACTGAAGGTTATAGAAAGAAGACTTCACCCTGTGGGCACAAGGGACAGGGTTCTGGTTTTCCAAGAAAGAATAAGCAAAGCAGTGTTGCTGAACTCACCTTCCAGAAAGTTTCGAAGTCAAAGAGCCCAGGAGATGTGTTGGAGTTCTAAGGAACCAACAATAAACAGAAATGAGAGCAAGAACCCATTTTGTGAGCATGAGGCAGGGGCAGGAGCGATGAGTGCCTGGAGGGTCCCAACCCGAGGTGGACTGATGCCACCACTCACCAAGTTATTGACTCCACTGACAGCTTCATTTTCCCCACTGGACCCTCGTCCCTGGATGGGGAAAAAGAACACTTATGTTCAAGGCATATGCACTTTGTCATGCATACTATCCATCAGCTTGCTCCTGGCCCACGCATCTTTGCCTTACCTTGAGCACCATGTACCCTCTGTAAAGCCACCTCTCTTCTTTACCAAGCATCTAAGAACCCTACCTCCAGAAAGTCTTCCTGGAATGACTCATCACTTGCTTCCTAGAATAAGCCTACCCACTCCCCAGTGTATAGTCCCCACTACTGGGCAAGCTCTGTGCCTTAGCTTCCTATGTTCTTTTGTGGAATATGTCTATTTTTCAAATGAGGAAACTGAAACTAAGAGCTGTCCAGCAGCTTGCCTCAGGATCTGTCTTCACGTCGAACTCCAGCGTCTGGACCCTGAGGCCCCTTGGTGGGATTACAATGTAGAAAACTCTGCAGTAACTGGTGTGTGGGGGAGCGGGGTGGTGAGGAAGTTAGGCTTCACTGGCCCTGTTTTACCCAAAAGGAAGGCCAGGCTCACGGAGGTCAACTGACATGCCTAAGATGCACAGATGACACATGACCCAGCTGGCGTTTGAACTCCCATTTCTAACTAAGTTCATCTCCTTTCTATTTCTCAACCCTGCCTTTTTATGTATAATTTTTAAAAATATCCCCTTGACCATTCTTCTATTATTTTTGTCAGCCTTTCCCCTCCCAGAGGTAATACAGCTGTGACTGCAGTTAGAAGGAGGGAGAGAGAGAATGGGTGAGTCAAGAAGGATCATGGGCTCCCAGGCCCCTGTTTGGTCTCCTGGTAGTCATCCAAGACAGATTCAGAGCAGCTGGCAAGAAGAAACTGATATTTCTATTCCTTTTTCCAGGCCCTTTGCATTCTGCCCTCAGAGTCTACCATTCCTTCCCCTAAAGCCATTCCTGCTCACCTGATAATTGCCTTGGAAGCCCCCAAGGAGGCGATTACCCTCCTTGCTTGTTTCCTGAGGAGAGAGAAAATGGGGGAAAGTTGGTGGGAAGCAGGCAGGTTGTGGGGTGAGACATAGGTGAAGAATTTCTGTATCAAGGGACTGAAGTAGGAACATGATTGAGGACTTCCCAAGACCCTGAGAGAGGCCCTTCTCTCTGGATAGCTCTGTCTTCCCTGGCAAATTTTGTTTCACCCCCTTGTGGATCAGGGTATTGCTCACTTATAATGCTGATTAGTACCACAACCATCGTTGTTCCTATTCATGTCTACAAGCTGCCCAACATTCAATAGGAAAGGCCTTTGCCACCAAAGAATTTTCCCCTGATATTGACGCAGGAACCAGCCAGGCTGCTGTACTGAACTGATTCAAGCTGCAGGACCAGTATGGGCTGATGTTTTGCATTTGTCAGAAAGGTGATGCTAGCTGGAGAGTCAGGGGCAGCAGAGGGGGCACGGAAATAGACTGCCTAGTCTCCTCCCACATAGGGGTACACTCCTCTAGTGCCCTGCCTTCGCTGTTTGGTGTGGATCCCAGCCTATCATCACCTTTTTGTTCCCAGAGCTAAAATCTGGACCAGGCCAGGATGTGGGACTATCTGCTTTGTTAGTGTTCCTGCTGGAGAGTTGACCTCCACCCCCACTCGCTGCTGCCATAGTCCCTACTCAAGACTTGTTGCCTCCTTACCCTGATGTCACCAGATCCTCTGGAACCTCCCTGTCCTCTTAGGCCCTGAGGGACAAGACAGTGAAACATAGATCATTGTTTTAGATCCTTGGTGCATTCCCGCACATTTATGTCTGATTTAATACAACTCCCCTTAAAGTCCTAATGGAATTTTCTTTTAGAACTTGTCAAAATCATCTTGAAGTTTATTTGGAAAAATAAACATCTAAGAATAGGTAAGAAAAGACTGGAAAAGATAAGCACCAAGGGAGGACTTCTACTGGCAGATACGAGATACTGTAAAGTACCATAAATGAAGCAGTGTGGTTCCTGTCCCAGATAAGATGTATCAGCTTAACAAAATAGAACTTCCAGAAGCTCTGAGCTCCCGGAAGCTCTCCTCAAATATTAAGGTACTTATAAGTGATATTTTAAATCAGTAGTAGAAATGATTCAATACACAGGGCTGCAATACCAGTTAAGTTTCCTTGGGCAAAATTTATTTATAACTTACCAGTTTCCTCCCTTCTGTTTTTATCCGTTTTCCCCTCATGAGGGAGCATACAGATCTGATCTGAAGCATAGGGTCTGCCTACTTGGATGAGGAGTGGGATTAGACAGTAAGCAGCAAAGTAAAACCCAGATGGATTAAAGGGTTAAATTTAACAATGGAATTACAGAAGTATTAGGTAGTGCTAGGAGAAAATAAAGACTTTTATTATCAAGAGCAGAAACCATAGAAAAAGAGATTTTGGTATGTAAAGAACTAAAAATAAAGTTACAAAGTGGGAGAAGGTTTCTTAAAACCTATCTCCCCATGAAAAGTGAGTATCTGCAATATTTTAGGAGCTCTTCAGAGAGCCTTGTGGACAGAGCAGCATAGGGTCCTGGTCCTCTCCCTGCGGGTGACTCTCACACAAGGGCACAGAGTAGCAGCAGCAGCAGCCTCACCCAAACCTTGTTAGAAACCAGAGCCTCAGCCCCACCCCGGAGCTGCTGAACCAGAAGACACATTTGCATAAGACCTCTAGGTGATTCGTGTGGACATTAGTGTAACATTTCCTCTGTCAGTGTAGCAGGTACTGACAGAAAGGCCAAATTTCCAGAATAACCAGGAGGGGAATGTGTGAACTCAAAACTACGTCAAAGGGGCCACACTGAATTCTGTTTACAGGCCAAGTCATTTGAAACAATTATGTTTCTAAAAGAACTGGTTTTTATAGAATTTTTCACAGCCCCATCTGTGGTATAAAGTGGGGTATTCCCATAGAATTTGCAATTAATTATTACTTTGGAGATCGTTAGTAATTTTACGCACTTGATTTCTCCCCCTAAATTGTAAATGGGGGGGGAGGTTAGTGTTAGGAGTGGGGCTGCGGGGCCGAGCAGAGTTGTGTTAGGAGTGAGCAGCTGCTGTGATGAACTATTATAGCAGGGGTATCAAACTCATTTTCACAGGGGTCACATCAGCCTTGCAGTTGCCTTCAAAGGGCCAAATGTAATTTTAGGACTGTATAAATGTAACTGCTCCTTAACTAGGGGCAAGGAGCTCGGCACTGCCTCAGGGTAAGAAACAAGGTGCTGGGCCGGATTCAACCTGAGGGCCTTGTGTTGGCCCCCTGTGAACTATAGTAACCACAAGTTTGGCTCTCACCTGACCCCCAGATCCTCCAGACACTCGGACTTCATTCCCTGGGTTGTCACACTGTGGGAGAGAGAAAGAGAAGATTTACTCGCAGTCCCTATCCAGACACCAGTTCCAGCCTTCATACTGCAGCTGTTTAACCCCAAGGCTAACCCACATCAGCCCCACTGCAGTAGCAGTCACCCCCATTTTCAGTCCCAGCTGTCACTGTACCACCATTTGAGGGGCCTCTTATTTTCCTTCCCACAGTCTAAGGGAGATCAGGTGTGAACTCTAGACACTCACGCCAGGTTTATTTCCACTTCCTCCGCTGCTACCTGAGGAAGAGCTTGTATCGTATTCCTATAAGAGAAAGTAAGAATCCAGCTGGTGTCTTAAAACCTCTTTGGAAGGAACCAAAGAGTTCCAGCCACATTGTGTGTGTGTGCGTCTGTCTGTGTTTAACCCCCCGCCCCCCTCCTCTTCCCAACCTCCACACCTTCGCATCTTCAGCTAGTTGTTCACTGAGGGAAGTTTTTGGGAGCACAGAGAAGGCCAGGTGTGGCCAAATATATTTGGAAATGTGGGATAATTTGCCAATTCTGACCTCCCCACTTCTCACTACCTGCCAAGGGTAAAAAGGCCTCTGGAGCCTAAGTGCACAGAAGCCATGACACTGAGACCCAACAGAAGGCTGGGGCCTAGTCTGCCCTGCCCCTGTCTTTCCTCTCCTCTCACCCTCTCCTGGACCTAGAAAGGGGGGGAGGGCCACTAGAAGGGAGACTGATCAAACTTCCTAGAATTTTCTAAGGGTCACTCTTAGATGGGGTAAAAGCAGGCAGCAGAATCAGCAATAAATTAAAGCAGCTTATGTAACCCGACTTGTTCTAGCTGCTTCCCTCCTCTCGACTGACACCCTTCCTGGACCCCTAAGGAAGCCAGCAGTGCTCTCTCTGCAGGGACCCTGTTGGATCTGCCCCCTAATTTCGCTGCCAGGTTGTGGCCCCCTCTTGGCCCTTTCGTCTGTCGTGACAGGGCTTCACGTGTGCATTCTACTTATTAGTTCATCTATACCATAGATCTGTAAATGTTCTTAAGTCTCCACCAGCGTGGGCTTGCCCTATTCTCCCAGGAACTTCCCTAACAAGTATATTTTTCTGTACCCACTTCTATTCTTCCGTTTGTCACCCACAGCTGTAGTCAGAGTTGCCAAGTTGCCACGACTTCCGGAATAGGGTGACAGGAGATAGATGATCTCCACCGTGATGGAGCAGAGGTAAGGGACAGAGTGACTGAAAGTTGGGAAGATACCTCTTCTGGGAAGATTGGAGTGCATTTCTAAGGAACCCTGCGCGGTGGGGCTGGGTAGGTGGAGACCAGAAGCTGAAGAAGCCACAGGATGACAACTGTCAGTGATGCTACCCGAGCCACCCACGCCGAGGCTAGCAGCTTTCAGGAAGACCTTGGAGCGCATCTCCTCAGCGGGGACCAACAGGGGTCTCAGCCCCACCTGTGCCTTCAACAAAGGAGCAGAACTCACCCCGCTGCCCCCAGAGCTGCTGCTGCCGCCGCGGCCGCCGCCACTGCTGTTGCCCCCGCCGCTGCCCCCGCCGCTGCCCCCGCCGCTGCCGCCGCTGCTGCCCCCGCCGCTGTTGCTGCCGCTGCTGCCCCCGCCGCTGCCCCCGCCGCTGTTGCTGCCGCTGCTGCCCCCGCCGCTGCCCCCGCCGCTGCCCCCGCCGCTGCTGCTGCCACTGCTGCCGCCGCCGCTGCTGCTGCCACTGCTGCCCCCGCCGCTGCTGCTGCCACTGCTGCCCCCACCGCTGCTGCTGCCACTGCTGCCCCTGCCGCTGCCGCTGCCGCCGCTGCTGCTGCTCCCCTGAGGGGAAGGAACAGACCGGAGCAAGGACTGAAAACGAGATCACCTACACTGCTTTCTCCCTCCATCCCCTTGCGCTCCCGCTCGGCACAACCCCTGCCCAGTCCTCGACGGGAGCAGAGTTTCTGTTTTCTCCCTGTGCCCAGTGTCGCCCATCCCCTTACCCAAGAGTTGCTAGAGCTTCCACCTGAACCAGAGGGCGAGGCGTTGGTGCACTGCAGAGGAAACGCGGCAGGTGAGGTTTAAGATTTCAGTTGGAGCCATTGCCACAGACCAGGCTTCCCCTTCTTATAGCTTGGCTTTCTTTCCTCACTTGTATCTCCCCATCCCTGGCTGATTCTATCCCTCTCTCCCGTGTCTCTTGCCCACACCCATCTCTTCCCTGGCCAGTCTTGCCGCTTGGCTCAAGCCCTGCCTTTCCCATCTCTCTTTCCTCTTTGTCTCTCCCACTTTCTGTCACACACACCCAAACACCCTCTTCTTCCCCAGACTCTTCTTACCTCCACATTTGGGTTGCTGTTTCCCCTCACTGAACCATAACCAGGTTGAGCCACAGCTCCCTGCTGGGGAGGAGGGGGTTAAGACTGAGTGTGGGGTCCAAAGACTGAAGGAGGTATAGAAAGTGTGGGCTTGTGAGAGGGAGGTTGCAGAATCAGGGCTGGGGTGCTTACTTTACCTGAGCATTGGTCCCCGAGTCGAATGGCCCTCCGTTGCCCCCCTGGCCCCAGGAGCTTCCCTGAGAGTTGGTTCCAAAGTTGCCATCTGAGCTTCCAGAGTGTCCATGGCCCCAGGGAGTCCCTGGACCTTCAGGATTGCCCTGGCTGTGGGATCCGAGGCCACCCTGAGAACCAAAGATGCCACGGCCTCCGGATGGAGGCTGGCCATTGGTTCCCTGCAAAGACAACACGTGTGCACTTAGTGTCTGTGACCTTCTCACTCTGTGGTGGGAGCGGGGTGGGAACCAGGCAGAACAACTAAGAGAGGAGCCAGAGAAGGGCACAGGGAGAGGCAGGCAGAGACCCCAAAGTGATAGAGGAAGCATGCATAATATGGGAGAAAACTGCCCCAGACAGTCACAAATAAGAGACTCCTTCATCCTTTCAACTGATCCCCAAGATTCTCAACCCAGCCGCACACAGCCTCCCACTTCCACGGCCAGCTTCCTTTCAGCCACTCACCCAAGCACCGTTGTTGCTGGGCATCCCTTGCCAAGAGCTGTGGGCAGCATCTATTCCATGTCGAATAATATTCTCAGTCTGTCTGCCAGCCTCACTTCCAGTGTCTCCAAAAGCATGGGCTGCTGCCTCAACACCCTGGCGGATGGCCTCACTGACCCTGTGTCCGAAGGCATCACCCATCCCTGGGCCCATGGCCTCCCTGATTCCAGAGCTGGCTGCCTCTCCAACCCCTTGGCCAATGGCCTCCCCAATACCTGTTCCAGCACCTGCCCCTCCACTTAGCAATGGGCCAGCCTCCCCACTGCCCAGATACAGGGCCAGCAGGAAGCAGGCCAGGGACCCCTGTAACTTCATCTCTGCCTCACTTCCCACTGAAGTTTCTTTCTGTTGGCCCTTTGTCTTCCTCTGAGTCTGTGTGCCCTCCTCTGTTTTCTTCTTCCTTCTGACTTCTTGTTTTCCCTCCCTCTAGGTCTGCAGCCTTCTCTCTCCTTTCCCCAACTCCCCTGCCTTCCCAGAGTCCTCCACCCTACCACTACTTCTTATAACATAGCTTGGGAGACGGTGACAGGGCTGGGCAGCCCAGAGTCCATCCCCGCACTGACTCAGGGCCAGCTACCGATAAGGTAATGAGCTGTAATTGTGAGTCTCAAGAGTCTGTGTTGAAACAGAGAGGGAGCTTGTGCATCAGGGAGGGAGGGAGAAGTGGAATGAGATGGGTGCAAAAGTGTTCCAATTTCCCAACCCCAGGAATTTGGGGCGCAGGGTGGGGATGGGGGCATCTGAAGAGACAGGCTGTTGGTGTCTCCTAGAGGCAGCAGGTGGAAGGGAGTCACAGGCTAGGCCCTGCCAGTGGGGCAAGGATAGGGAACCAAGTGGAACAGGGCCCACCCTAGGTGTAAGCCAGCCTAGGTCAGGGGCCCTTTCTAGGTCTTTCTCTCAGTTTCACTTGGCCTTTGCCTCTCCCATTTCTCTCCTCTCCCATGCCGTCTCCTAAAGGTGATTGCCCTCACCTTCTGCCACCCCTTCCAGACCACAGAGAGCCTGGGAGCTATGAGGTTGGTCTCAGTTCTCAGTAGGGACCCCAAGCATCTGGGAAGGAAGTGGTGTCACCTCTGAGATTGGTCATCAGGGTGTCTTAGTTAGCATCCTGGTGGCTCTTAGCTGAGAAAGCTGGGTGTGGAGCAGGGGAGCTAGGCGGGACAGCCACCCCCAGGGAATGAGTAGGAGGGAAAGACCTAGGGAGGGAGTGGCTGACCCAGGCAGCGATCCTGTTTACCTGTCATGGAGGGGACATGTGTGTGAGTTCATGGCCTTCTGGGAGGGCTGGGATGGTACCAGCTCACCCCACCCAACCCCCAACTTCCCCCAGGGGCCAGGAGGGCACTGGCAAAGGAGAACAAGTTAGCACAAGGGCAGGAGCCCTAGGTTAGCAGCATAATGCTCTCCTGAGTCCCAGCTTAGGATGTAGAACTCAGACACCCTCCCCAGGTCTCATCCCTGCTTAGCAAGCATGGCTATCTCTACACTCTCAAGAGCCCCAGGCCCTCCCACGTGCCACTGTTTCGTATCACTGTGATACATCACTCAGTTAGGAGGGGCCAGTTTCCATCTGCCTTTCTCAATGTCTCCCAGTCAGTCTCTCTCTCCACCCCAACACCCACACCCCAACTTGTAACATTCAATACCTCTTACCATGTAAACACAATCCCTGTCTGTCCTCAGCTGCTCCTACCTCCCTGTTATTCCCTTTTTGACTTTAATGATGATAATAAATGATGGTGGTAATAATAATAATAATAATAATAATAATAATAATAATAAATTGCAGCTCCAGTCTATCAAAGGCTTTCTATGTGTCCAGCACAGGACTTTAAGGACTTGAAGGCTCACTCAACCCTGGAGATCAGTCTTATTATTACCCTGTTTAGAGACAGAGAACTTGAGGTTCAGAGAACACATGTGAATGCTCAGTGGAGCCAAAGCCCAAGCCCAGCCTGCCTTCATGTCTAAGCCCTGACCCCCAGTATTTTCTGTCACCTCAATGTCTCAGACCTCCCCCTGCTTTTCAAAGGCCCTATTCTTCTTTGGATGAAATCAGTTTTGGTTTTGCTCTGGCACCTTGTTGCATGGTGGAGAGAGGAAGGAAAAGTAAATCTGGGGCCTCCAGAATTGGTGATGGAGACCCTAGACCTATTCCCACTTCCCCGGGACAGGACCACAGGCAGCAGGCAGAGCACTTGCTAGGACTCCTTCCCACACTTCCCTCATGGGACACCTCCACAATGGCATGTAGCTGCTCTCTCCTCCCTCTATTACAATATTTTCCTTTAAGCTAGCTTACTTTCTTAATATATTTTAAGAATATTTTATATTGCTGCTGAAAGTGAAAAGCCAGAATCACTTGCCCATAAACAGAAAGTACCAGGAAATCATAGTGAGAAACAAATGGTATTACAATGGTAATATAATGGTATTACATTATAGATGGTTGTAGTTCCTACATCCTCTTTGTTAAAAGGGGGAAATTAGCAAGTATGAGAGAGATATTCAAGGCACACCAGAATGGAAATTGAGTCTTCCTTTTTAACATAATCAGAAAGATTAAAAGAGAAAAGAGTTTCTCACTGCATGGCTCAGACTACATTTACAGACCACCTAAATGCTCCTTTGCCACCAGCAGTCCCATGTTGTACCTTCAGAGAAAAACTAACTGCCCTCAGACATCTGTGGCCCTGAGGAGTCACCTGAAATCAGTCTTAAGGCGCAGTTATTAAGTACCCATCACAAACCCTATAAAAGATGGGGTGCTTTCACATTCATGATCTTATTTAATCCTCACTATAACCTGAAGTCAATATTTTTTCCATTTTACAGATGAGATAACCGAGGCTTAGAGTGTTAAGTGCATACACAAAATCATATGTAAAAAAGATTATGGTAAAATGGAGTTGTCAGAATTTGACCCAAGTCTGTCTAACTCCAAACAGCTTTTTTTCCTATATCACCAAGCCCCCCTTGTTTTAGCATACACAAATCTGACATGCCTACATTATGTCCAAGACCCTCTGGTTTTATCTCATCTCTCTAATTTACTCCTTTATTTATTCAACAAATATTTACTGAATAAATAAATAAATATCCTGTGTCATGCCTGTTTGAGGCACAGGGGATACCACATGGAACAAGTTCATCAAAATCTCTTTCCTTAGGGAACTCACATTCATTGTGGGTTTAGTTGGACAGTAAACATATCAGGTGGTGATGAGCACTGTGAAGAAAAACACAGTGGGGTGAAGGAATAGAGAAGAGAGGATCCAGAGAGGCAGGTAGAGACCCCAAAGTGACAGGGGAAGCATGCATAATATGAAAGAAATTTTAAACCAGGTGGTCAGGAAGGAATCTTTAGGATGTGATCTATGAACTGAGACCCAAAGAAAGTGAGAGCCTGAGCCATGAGGATATCTAGGGATAGAGTATTCCAACAGAGGGAACAGTAGTGCAAAGGCTCTGAGGCTGGAGCAGGGAGGAAATGACAGCAGTTGAAATTGAGGAGGTAATCACTTTTTAATAAAATGTATTGGAGTGACATTGGTTAATGAGATCATATAGCTTTCAAGTGTGCATGTCCATGATACTAGATCTATATATTACAGTGTGTGCCCACCACCCACAGTCAAATCATCCTCTGTCACCCATTTACCTTTCACTATTCTCACACCCCCTTCCCTCTGGTAACCGCCATGCTGTTGTCCGTGTCTATGAGTTTCAGTTTTATATCCCACATACCAATGTAATCATACTGTTCTTAGCTTGTTCTGACTGATTCATTTTGCTTAGAATAATATTCTCAAGGTCCATCCATGTTGTCACAAATGGCAGTATTTCATCTTTTCATATGGCTGAGTAGTATTCCATGTATATATGTACCACTCCCTCTTTATCCAATCCTCTATGGAAAGACACTTTGGTTGTCTCTGTGTCTTAGCCACCATGAATAATGCTGCAATGAACGTAGCAGTGTATATATCCTTGTAAGTGAACTCATGTTTTTAAGTTTTTTGGGTAGATACCTAGAAGAGGGATTGCTGAGTCATATGATAACTCTATTCTTAATTTTTTTAGGAAATGCTAGACTGTTTTTCATAGTGGGTATATCAGTTTACTTCCCCACCAGCAGTGAAAGAGGAATCCTTTTTCCTCTGCAACCTGTCCAACACATATTATTCACCTGTCTTGTTGACAATCACCATCCTAACAGGTGTAAGGATTGTAATTTTGATTTGAATTTCCCTAATAGCTAGTGAAATTGAACATCTTTTTACATACCTGTTCACCATTTGTATGTCCTCTTGGCAGAGGTGTCCGTTCAGGTCCACTGCCCATTTTTAATTGGATTTTTTCTTTGTTTGGTGTTGAGTTGTATCTGTTCTTGATATATTTCAGAAAGAGGTAGCCATTGTGAAGACTTTGACTTTTACTCTGAATGGGGTGGAACCAGCCAAGGGCTTAGAACTGAGACAAGCTGTGGTCTGACTTGGGTGTTAACAGGATTCCTGTAGGGAATACACTGTTATGGGAAGAGGGGAATACAAAGATCAGGGAGGAGACTAGGGATGGGTGTGGAGGCTGGACTCAAGTATAGAGAGGAAATGAGGCCTTGCATATGGGCAATGTCTCTACTCCCTCCTATAGGGTCCTGGGTCTCTCTCAAAGTGGCATCTACTGACTTACCTTGTCCACAGTGCCTGTTCTGGAGTCTAGGCTGAAATTCTAGCTTTACTACTTACTAGCCATGATCTTAATCCATTTGTACAATAGTTTCCTTATCTATAAGAGGAGTGAATGTGAAGGTTAAATGAGGTAATTATGAAGAGAGCTTAGAGCAGTACCTGCAACACAGGGCACAATATATGTTCTTGCTAGTTGGGCACGTTAATGTTGTTGGAAGGCTTTCTCAGCAGTTGCTTAATTTTGAGACATACACACCCACACATCCTGAAAAAGCCAAATGCAGAAACTTATTTTTAAAGAGGACTTATTTTGAAGCAGCCTGTTCCCCAAGGGCCCCAGGGAAGCATGCCACCTCACTAGCAGAGATCACCAACAGGGAAGTGCTCCTGAGAGAGCCCCGTTATCACGTGACACTTACTAGATTATCAGGCAACTCTCTCCCTTCTCTGAGCTTCAACTTTATCCTAAGGAGGATAATCATGGTACCCACCTCATAGGGAGGTTGTGAGGATGGCATGAATCATATCTGTAAGTGCTTAGCAAAGACATAGTAAGCACCCAACCAAGATGGCTGTGTGGTCCCACCCAAACCCCTCTCCCTGTTCTGCATCTGCAGAAACTGGCCCCTCCCATCTTTGTTACTCCTTAGCCTCACTCCACCTATCTGTCTCAGCTGCCTCATTTTTGCTCACACTTATTCCAAGGCCTTTCCCAGGTCTGCTCAAGCCTCTCTGCTACCAGTTGCCAGCCATTTGTGCCTAGCCTTGAGCTCACCTTTTGAACCTCTTAATCGAGAGAGGAAATGGATATGAGACAAGTAAATATACAACTACACATTGTCATAAGTGCTATGAAGAAAAAAAATCAGTGTGCCATGAAAGAATAACAAAGGTAGCCCTTTGTTCAGATTGGATGGTCAAGATTGCTAAAACCTGAGGGTGAAGAGAAGGCAACACAAGACAAAAGGGACATGGTGATTTGTACCTCTAATTCCCCTTTACTTTTTCTACGTGTCCCACCTCCCCCAGCAACCATCAATTTATTCTTTGTTTCTACATGTGTTTCTGTTTTGTTTGTTTTGCTTTTTAGAAATCATACAGTACTTGTTTTTCTCTTTCTGACATTTCACTTAGCACAATACTCTTTAGGTCCATCCATGTTATCCCAAATGGTCAATGATACTTTAATTAAAATGGAGGGCATATAGAGAATATTTCTAGCAAACAGCATGCAATGACTCAAGGCAAGAATGTGCTGTGCCTATTCTACTCTTCAAAACCAGCTAAGCTCTTCTTTTCCAGAAGCTTCCCAGGATTGACTACAGTAAATACTGATTTATCTCATACCTCTTTGACAAACCCAGCAAAAAAATGTGCATACAGATAAAAATCAATGAAAGCTTTTACTTTTTATGAAATAATGATTCTCTTGAATATTCCCTTTTGAAAAGGGAGCCCTCCAATCCATATGAAATTATATCTAGCACAGAGTAGACTTCAGTGTGTGCTATGAATGAATGCTTTTTTTTAATTGTGGAAAGAGATGTCTGAAATTTACTTTGAAATGCATCAAAAATGTTTTGCTACACGGCTAGATCCAGGGATGTATGTGCTGGATGGATGTGTGGCAAAGCAAGCATAGTAAAATGTTAGTGGTGGAATTTAAATAGTGGATTTTCAGGTATCCCCACTAAAGCTCTTCACCTTTGTGCTAACTTTGAAATATTTTTAAAATAATTATTGCAGGAGAGGAGAAGGAATATTAAGTGACAAAATGATGGTATTCTATAAGTAAGGAAAAATGTAATGAATATAAAGTGTCAGGAACATCACTTTTACCCCCCTCTGAAGTATCATTTAGTTCTTACTGCTGCATTGCCTTGTATTTGTTTTCATATTCTGTTCATATGTCTTGTCTCCTCAAGAAGCCTATGAATTCCCTGGGAACAAGAACACTGTCTCTTATTTTTGGTCCCACAATTGATGAAATTTTGAAGCTGGAAGGTGTGTTTATAATCCTCTCCTGCAGATACAAGGTCCCTGCTTTATATAGGAGGAAACTATGGCCCCTAGAAGAAAAATAACCTGCCTTCAGGCACACAGTCTTGATTGGAATGCAAGTCTCCCAGCAGCAGGGTCAGTGCTTGGCAAGTGTTCTAGAGACTTTATAGGCAGCCGTGAAAAGTTAGGTTCTGGCAATAGAAAGACCTGCTACTTTCTTGTGGGTTGCTCTGGGCAAGTGCCCTGATCTCCTGAGCCTCTTTTTTCTCATCCGTATGATGGGGATCATAAGAGAACTTCTGCCTTTTGGGTAGTTTAAATGGTACCAGAGCATGAACAGCTTTTCTCACAGGACTTAGGACCTAGTAAGTGCTCAGTATATGGTAACTGCTATGATGGTTCCACCAGACTTTGAGTCATCCACAGATCTGAAAACTGGGCCTCCTGAATTACTATTCTTGTCCTTATAAAGCTCTCCCTCCTGCCCTCAGTGTGCCTTCCCTCCGAGCCTTTGATCCTCCCTGTGAGAGGGCCTCCCGAATGTATCTCTGTTCTCTCTCTTTATTCAGTGATTCCCATAGCTACTGATGTCAAACAAGAAAAGACCCCTTTGTTTGCAGAACATCCTTTGTAGCCTTTAAGCTGTTTCTCCCTCCAAATACTGACTATGTGACCTTGGTCATGTTTCTTAACCTGTGCAAGCCTCTACATGCTTCTCAATAACAGTACCCCTTACCTAATGGGTGGTTGGGAGGCTTCAGTAATATTATGCATATAAAGCACTTGTCAGAGAGCCTAACAGGACTAAACTGTATAATAAACCCAAGTGATCATTGTTATTCCTTTGGTGCAACATCTCCTAAATGAGAATGCTGCCCTCTTTGACTCCCCCTGGGTAACTGCCCTCTCTCCCCTGGTGTCTCTGCCCCACCACTGGCCTGAGTGGCTTTCCCTGTGTGACACTCATCCCAGTGCTCACCACGAACCAGGCACACTAATGAAACATGGTTTGTCCGGTAACCACCTTCTCAGATCTGATCAGCCTGAAATCTTCAGCTTAACCCATCCTGTACATCACACCCCCAGCTCCTTCAGCAAAGAAACAAGAAGAGAAAAGACAAGCCTCCCCACTCACAACCCTCCTTAGGGAGCATGTGGACCATGATGAGAGTAGGTTGTGTCTTATTTATTCACAAATCTTAGCACCATTCCCGTAAGGGACTCCCAAAATCTACCCCAACCCCCATCCCCAGCTCCTTCAAGTCATTTCAGCTATGACAACAGGAACATCAGTCTGCTCAGCAAGGCCAGGCATCAGTTTAGGGAATGATGTTGGCGACGCTCTGGAAGAGAGAAGGAAATAGGGAGTGAATGCAGGGTGTGCAGTCATGGAGGCACTGAAATTTCTGCCCTCACATCTCCCCACCCACTGGGAAATGAGAGGGAGGCTGGCTACCTTGGCCCATGAATTGCCTATGTTCTGGGGAATATCTTCCTATGTTAAGGAAGGTGGCACCTAGATTAAGAAAGAATAGAGAGCCAGGATTCAAAGGGGAGATGATGAGGAGAGGGTGGACACATGGAGGGGATGGTTTCGATCTCCCCTCCTTCCCTGGCTCACAGATATACACACACCCCTGGAGGTCTTTTCTGCCAGCTTGTGTTTGCCTCAGTGGAAATTAAAAATATCCAAGAGATGAAAGCAGGATGCAAAGGGCAAGGAATAAGTGAGGAAAGGGACAAGCAGGGCTAGAGAATGGATTGGATGGCCTCTGAAAGGCTGAGAGTCTGTCCACAGTGAAGTTGTCCATGAATAAGCAATGGGAAGGAGGGTGTACAAATATCTCCCAAGACAGAGGAGAAAGCTGAAATCATGTGGGCACTCACCTGCCACAGAGCTGGAAAGTTGATGAAGGGCTTGTTGACCGAAGCCTGAAATTCAAGAACAAGAGAGTCAGTACCCAGCATCCATCCCACCACCATCCTAGGAGGGCCTCCACTCCCCCACCTGCAAGTCCATGCTTTGCTTGGGAGACTTACTCCAGATGTTAATGTTGTGGTTGCGCCCCCTCCGTGATGGACGGTGGATCCGCCTGGATGACCGCCCTGTGGACCAAACCCAAACCAGCATTACAACCCCTCAGCCCTTGAAGGTCTCCTAAGTTCCTTTTCCCCCGTTACCTGCTGCCCTCTAGGATGACTAACCTACAACCCCCTCACTGTCCGAAAAGAAACCCAAAAGCCCTGTTACTATGGTAATTCTGTGAGAGATGGGAAGACAAGCCAGGAAGGACATCTGTCCCTTTGACTAATCTTCCCCCAATTCCCTTTTATTTTATTTAATGAGACACTCTTAATCATTGAGAAGAGGCCTGGCTAGAAAGGGAACCAAGAGGACCCATGCAAATACCAGGACTATAGTTAACCTCAGCCCTGACTTCAACTCTACCCTTTCTACATACACATGAGCCTGATCCCTAACTCAGATTGATCCCAGTCTTTAATCCTATCCCAGACACTCAGCAGTGCTGCAGCCCAGGGTCCTATCACAGACCTCCCTTTCCTGCCATCTGTCGCAGAGCCCTTTTCCCTTTCATGCACACTTTCTACACAGTCCAGAGATGACAAACTCATTTTCACTGGGGGCCACATCAGCCTCACAGTTGCCTTTAAAGGGCCGAATGTAATTTTAAGACTGTATAAATGTAACTACTCCTTAACAGTTAAGTGAGAGCTTGGCACTGCCTCCAGATAGAAACAAGGTGCCGGTCCGGATAAAACAAGGTGGAGGGCCAAATTTAGCCCCCAGGCCTTGCGTTTGCCACCTGTGACATACTCCCTTCCCACCCACCATTCTTCGCTCACTGCCTGGCAGCCAATGTGGCTATGGGCTTTGAGGCCTGGGCCAGTCTTCAAGGGGGTGTCCCAAAGACTCATCATGAAGACTGAAGAGTAGAGGATTGAGGCAGGCAGGAGTCAGCCTTCTATAGCCACGCCCCCTCCTTGGTGCCTGTTCAGCTGTGCAGGGCACTGCTGGCTTCTTCTGCCCTCCAGTGTCTGTTCCCTCTACATAAATGGGGATCAGAAATCCTTCAGGAGACCTGTTCTGATGAGGCAGTGTGGAGGAAAAGAAAGAGCCTGGACCTACCTGAGATTTGCCAAAGATGTGTGCTAGCCACACAACCTTGGAAAATCCCCTTAAATTTCACTGAGCTCAGGTGTCATATCTGAAAATTAGGGAGTCATGTCCACCTCCTTACCCTGACTACCTCAAATTAACCAGAAAAGGGCTTATCTCTAAAGCTGTTCCTCATGCTCACACTCTAATGTTCTGCATTTTCTCATCACTCATTCTGCTCACACTGTAATAGATCTTGGTTCAGCAACTGTTTCCTGTTCCCCAGGAGAGGCTTTATGTTCCTCACTGTAGAACTCCTTAACTAGGAGGGCAGCTCCCTGAAATTGGGGCTGGGTGACATTCATACTGTCTAGTATAAAGCTTTCAGATAAGATGGCTTGATCCATCTTACCAGCTAACCACCAGCTTCTTCGTAAAGAAGGAGAGGAAGAAGGAGGACACAATTATATAGCTGCCTAAGCTTCTTTCACCATGTGAAAACTACCTGGGCTCCCCAAATATTTTAAGCGTTTAACCTCTCCCTCCCCCAACCCCCTTCTCCCCTTTTCCCCACCCCTGTTCACCTACATTCAGCAGCTGGTTGGCCTCCTTGCCGTGTTGGTTGACCCCATTATGAACATTCTGCTGCAACCTGTCCACCTCCTTTCCAGCCTGGCCAGCAGCATGGTGGACACCTTGGCCAAGCTTCTCCGCTTCCTTTCCAGCCTGGCCAGCAGCGTGGTTGACCCCTTGACCGAACTTCTCTGCCTCCTTCCCAGCCTGGTTGGCCCCATCGTAGAACCCTTGGACCACTTTGTTTGCCTCCTTTCCAGCCTGTTCAACAGCATGGTGAACTCCCTGGCCAAAATGCTCCTCTGCCTTCCCAGCCTGGTTGACTCCATTGTGGACTCCTTGAACCACTTTTTCCCCCTCTTTCCCAGCCTGCCCTGCAGCATGGTGGAACCCCTGACCAAACTTCTCTGCCTCCTTCCAAGCCTCATTAACCCCATGGTGGACCCCATGTCCAAACTGCTCTGCTTCTTTCCCAGCCTGGTTGACTCCATTGTGGACCCCTTGAACCACTTTTTCCCCCTCTTTCCCAGCCTGCTCTGCAGCATGGTGGACCCCCTGACCAAACTTCTCTGCCTCCTTCCAAGCCTCATTAACCCCATGGTGGACCCCATGTCCAAACTGCTCTGCTTCTTTCCCAGCCTGGTTGACTCCATTGTGGACCCCTTGAACCACTTTTTCCCCCTCTTTCCCAGCCTGCTCTGCAGCATGGTGGACCCCCTGACCAAACTTCTCTGCCTCCTTCCAAGCCTCATTAACCCCGTGGTGGACTCCGTGGTGGACCCCATGGCCAAACTGCTCTACTTCCTTCCCAGCCTGGTTGACTCCATTGTGGACCCCTTGAACCACTTTTTCCCCCTCTTTCCCAGCCTGCCCTGCAGCATGGTGGACCCCCTGACCAAACTTCTCTGCCTCCTTCCAAGCCTCATTAACCCCGTGGTGGACCCCGTGGCCAAACTGCTCTACCTCTTTCCCAGCCTGGCTGACCCCAGGATGGACTCCTTGGACTATTTTGTCCCCCTCTTTCCCAGCCTGCCCAGCAGTATGATGGACCCCCTGGCCAAACTTCTCTGCTTCCTTCCAGGCCTCATTAATGCCACGGTGAACCCCCTGGCCAAACCTCCCTGCCTCATTTCCATCCTGCCCTGAAGCATGGTGGACCCCCTGGCCAAACTTCTCAGCCTCCTTCCAAGCCTCATTTATGCCATGGTGAACCCCATGGCCAAACTTTTCTGCCTCCTTCTCAGCCTGCCCAGCAGCATGGTGGAGCCCCTGGCCAAACCTCCCTGCCCCATTCCCAGACTGCCCTGCAGCATGGTGGACCCCCTGGCCAAACTTCTCTGCTTCCTTCCAGGCCTCATTAATGCCATGGTGAACCCCATGGCCAAACTTTTCTGCCTCCTTCTCAGCCTGCCCAGCAGCATGGTGGAGCCCCTGGCCAAACCTCCCCACCTCATTCCCAGCCTGCCCTGCAGCATGGTGAACCCCCTGGCCAAACCTCCCCACCTCATTCCCAGCCTGCCCTGCAGCATGGTGAACCCCCTGGCCAAACCTCCCCACCTCATTCCCAGCCTGCCCTGCAGCATGGTGGAGCCCCTGGCCAAGCCTTCCTGCCTCACTTCCCGCCTGGTTGACCCCATGATGGACCCCCTGAATCACTTTGTCTGTCTCCTTCCCAACCTGTCCAGCAGCATTGTTCACGCCATGGATAAGCTTCTCTGCTTCCTTTCCTCCTTGTCCGACGCCATTGTTGATCCCATGGGCTACTTTGTCCAAGCCGTGGTTGAGCCCCTGGACGCCCTTGTCCAGCTCCTTGCCAGCCTGGCTCCCCATGTTGCTAAGTCCATTAAGAACTTTCTCCACTTCCCTTCCAGCTTGAGTGATTCCATTATTGATGCCTTCCAGGGCCTTGCCCACCTCTCTCTCTGCATTGCTCAGCCCTCGGTTGATCCCTTCAATGACCTTCTCAAGAGGGTCATCATTGGCTGCCCATCCAGGCAGGGCCCCCAATAGCAGTAGGAAGGAGCAGGAACTGACCAAACTGGCGAGACGCATATTGTTGGGAGGGTGGAGAGGATGCAGAGAAGAACCAGTGAAGCCAGGCTGCTATTTATCCTCTGCCTCCCTGCCTCTTCTCCACCCCTCATGACTCAGTTACCTCCATGAGGCACTGACTTGGTCCCCAGTTAGGGAGGTATTTCCCAGGGAGATTTGGGGTTGAGCAATGAAAAGGAGGAGGAAGAGAGGGTGAGTCATGAATGGAGAACACTCACATGGCATCTTTGCTCTTTGCCCAGCTCAGGTCCTCCACCCCAGAGCCTAGATGTCTGCCCTTCCAACCTCCTCCTCTTTTCATTCCTCACCCACTAGCCAGGTCTCCTCTCTCCCAACCCCACCTCCAACCACCACCACCTATCCCTGGTTCCTTAGCATCTTCACTCTCAAGGGATCAAGCATCCAGATTCCCAGCACTGAGATTCTAGAAAGATGGGAGGTGTAATCAGGGGAGGGAAGCACTTTCGGGGAGTTGAGGGAATGATCAGATCTTGTCCTTGTTGTTCTTCTTGATCCCCCCCACTAGTTAGAATGCTCCAACCACACAGAATTTCTCCCTTATCCTCAAATACACCATGCTCATTCTTTCCTCATGACATTCGAACTTACTGTCCTCTGTCTGATATGCAGAATTCAGATCTTCACATGGCAGTTTCCTCATCATTCAGTCTATGGCTCAAATGTCACCTTCTCAAAAAACCTTCCCTGGTTGTCCCCAATTATACTCTGTAATATCCTTTGGTTTTTATAGTACTTACCACAATCCAAAATTACCTCTTTATTATCTGCCTGACCTATAAGCTTATAAATGTCCAGAGGATAGGGCCTTTGTCTGTTGGTTAGTGCTATATCCCCAATTTCTAGAACACTGCCTGGAGTTCAGTAAATATTTATGGATTGAGCAAGTGGATGGATTAGAAGAAACCAAGGAAACACAGGCTAGGCCTGGGCCTGAGTCTCAGAGGGTGCTGGGGGGGGAGGGTGCCTGGATCCTCAGAGGGTACTAGGGGGACAGTTGCAGGTTTTGAGGCCAGGACCACATTCTCACCACAGAACCCTAGCCTCTTGCCTCCCAGCCCTTGGGCAAGGGCAGGGGGCCGATTGCCATGAGCTGGGACAGGACGCAGTGTCTCCTGAAAAGCCGGTTGAGGCACCCATGGGGAGGACCTGAAGACCCAGAGCAACAGGAAACTGTCAGCCAGAACCTGGGCTGGGGGCCAGGATCTCATTCTTCCTCACCTTCTCTCCCTAGAGACTCATCAGTGCCCACCTGAAGCCCAGTATTGACAAGGCAGCATTGGTTGGAGAGGGAAACAGCTGAGAGTTTGGCCTAGGTATAAAGGGGGGTATCAGGAGGAAGGGCAGGTAGTGGATGGTGGATCTGTGGCAGAATATCTATCTGGAGCTAATTTAGAGGGAGGCACAGACCAGAAGGACAAGAACCAGTGGGTGGGTACAGTTGGGTGCAGGGGTGAAAGATATTTGGGTTTTGGTGCCAAGGGGAGAGACTGAGAGAGGAGGTGGGGGTGGGATTGCTAGTGGGAAGGCCAGGCAGGAAAGAATGTGCAGGGTGTGAGCAAGTAGAGGTGGCAGAGTTATGTGTGTGGGCGCCAAGGTGTGGTGAGAATCTGCACGTGTTTTCAGGTTTTGCTCAAACAAGGACAAGGCCCACTCCCCTTGGTGGACCCAGAGTTCCGCCTAGATCCTGGACACTTGGCTTTACCCAGAACCAGGCATCCCAGACCCAGAGGCCCAGGAGCTTCTTCTGCCCTCTCTGGGCTCTGTCTATAGAAGGTGACTAATTGTACCACCTGTCTACACTTCAGCTCATCAAATCTGTTTCCCAGTTTCACGCTCCAGGGACAAAGCCAAGTCCCTGAGCAACCTCGGGTGTGGCTTTTCTGCTCTGTCCAGTGCTTACATCAGGGAGTTTCCCATGCAGGGAGATTGCTGGGTGGAGAGTTCCAGAATCCTAATCCTCCCTGAGGTTGACAGGTGCGATTTCTCTATTTCTCTTCCACCCTTCTCTGCCCCACCTCCTTGGTGCTCCATTCCCATTGGCCACTGTTGGGTTCAGAACTTTGGCATCCTTCTCTGTGATCCTCTGCCATCCTCTGCTGGTTTGGGTAACAGCGGCTGTGCTGCTGTCCTCAAGGAGCTTTTAGTCACTGAGCCATCATAGCTCAACCAAAGCACTCCCAAGAAGTTTGCCATGAAGGTACCAGAGTGTGCTTGCCAATCCCCAGGGCCCCTGAGCACATGCCCTGTCCAAGAGACAGGAGCTTTGGACAGGAGCTGCCATAGGCTTTCCAGCTCTGGTTAGAATCTGCAGCACTTCCTATGAACTGACAAATACTTGCTCCTACGCTTTGGCAGATCTTGCCATAAAATCAGGATATGAATCAGTCTTGGGGAGGAGAGATCTTAACTCTTTGTTTCATGTTATTTTCCTACTAAGATTTGCCATTTCTTTTTGTACCAGTTTTGATCCTTTATATTCTCTAAGAAATATTTTAATTTCATCAAGCTTTTCATATTTATTATTATAAAGTTGTACAAAGTCAGTCGCTTTTAAGTCTTGGTTTTATTTGTGTGGTCTCCCCCTGCCCTGATGATACATATAAACTTCATCCCCCTTTGTTTAATTACTATCTTTTTTTGGTTTTGGTTGATTGAAATCTCCCCATGTATATGTACACCCAATTTAGTTTCAGTTCCACCTCTCCTAGGCCATCCAAGCAGGAAGGCCTCGCCCTCACCCTGTCCCATGACAGGTGCTTAGCAAACTGAGTACTCATGGAGGTTTGGGGAAGAGGTTATGTCATTGTGACCCTTCTTGCTTCCACACCTCTCTCTGAGATAGTGACTCCTTCCTGGCCCACCCCCACACCCCTAAATCTTGGTCACAGCTGTGTGTCAACTGGCTCTGCAGGTGAAGGTACCTGCCTGTGCAAGCAAGCCCCCACCCCCAGTGCTTTAGGGAAAAGGAGCCATCTGTCCATTTGTTCCTCCTCAAATATGTATGCAAGCTTTGCTTTGTGCCAGACACAGTTCTAGGTGCTAGAGGCCCAGTGGTGAATAAAATTGTGGGACAGACAGTGAACAAGTAAATCATAAATAGATCATGACAAACTATATGAAAAGCCACAAAAATGGGGTTCTATGAAAGGATATGGCTTGAAGGTTGCTTTAAAGAGTGGGGATACCCTTGGCTGGGGTGAGTTGAGGGCTGGCCTGCAAACCCAAGGTTCACAGGTTGGATTCCCAGTCAGAGCACATGCCCAGGTTTTGGTTCAGGTCTCCAGTAGGGGGCACACAAGAGCATCAACTACACATTGATGTTTCTCTCCCTTTCTATTTCCCTTCCCCTCTGTCTCAAAATAAATAAATAAAATCTTCTAAAAAAAGAGTGGGATCAGAAGAAACCTGAGGAGGTGACATTTATTTATTCATTCTGGTTTTATTTATTGAGTGCACACCTTTTAAGTGCCAAACATTCTTCTAATCAATGTGATATAAAACTAATGACTTAGACAAGCACTCTGCCCTGCCAGAGCCTGGTCTAGTGATTAGAGACAATTAGTAAGAAAACAAATGAATAAACAAGATGATTTTTAGAGAGAGACATGTGCTGTGAGGAAAATGAAAATAACAGAGTGTAGCCCTGGAGTAGTTTTGCACATTGGAATATATAACCCAGAATGGTAAGTCAGACAAGGTTCTGAAACGTGAGCACACTGAGGGGGTAAGGGTGATGGCAGGTAGTGACTGAGAAAGGAGAGAATATTAAATAGGGAGTCAGGAGGACCTCTTTTAAAGGGTAACACCTAGGAGAAACCAAGAGGCAGGCAGCTAAGGGAAGGCTTTGCCAGGGCTTCCAGGCCTAAAGGAACATTCAGGGTAACTATGAGGGGTGGGGTGTGTGTCAAAGAACAGCGTGGAGGAGGTGTGGAGAGAGGGCCTTGAGTTGCAAAATGTGGAATTCCATTCTAGACACCAGCTGCGGCCTCGGAATGGTGGTACACTGTGGGCAGACAGCAGAGGCGTTCCCTGGGATGCGCTCTTCCTGCAGGCTCTGTGACGTCACTGGATTGTGACGTCACTGGATTGTGACGTCACGGCAGGAAGCTGGTGTCCCCAGCCTTGGCGCCCGGCGTGGCAGTAACATCACGGAGGGTCCCTGGGTGGCTAGGCCATGAAACCTTAAGAGGCCATGTCGAAACGCGACATCGTCCTCACCAATGTCACCGTTGTCCAGCTGCTGCGACAGCCGTGCCCTGGTGAGGGATAAGGCGGAGAGCCTCTGCTTACGTGGGGAGGGGTGGTCAGGGAGCGGAGCTTGCTGTGTCAGAGCCCCCTCCTTCCTTGAGAGTCTGAGAGGGAGGGGACAGGAGGCACAGGCTCTTCCATCCCGAGCTGCTTTCCTCCCACTCACCAGCGCTCCCCACCCCTGTCGGCAACCTGAGTTTGCAGGCAAAGTGGTTTCTATAACGATGATGGAAGTGATGGGGACCTCCACTCTGAGGTGGACCGTGAGGTTCTACAGCATAATGGAAGGATCGAAGCAGGGGCCGGGTGCAGGCTGGAACAGGTTTTTGAGGGGCAATTCTGAGGACAGCTACTGGGGTTAAGAGGCTCGGAGAGCTGTGTTTCACACACAATGAATGATTCTGTTGAATGCTTCTGTTTCACATACAATGAATGCTTCTGCTTGGGAGTTGGTGGGCTTCTTCCCTCCCTCCCTGTATTGCACGAAGCGTGGACACTTGAGACCTGCCAGGGCTGCGCCAAGTGCTTTACAAATGCGCTCACTGAAACCTTTTCAGAGCGCAAACCACTTCCCTTGGTCTCTCACACAGGAATAGCACAGTGGGGACTCGGAGTCCCTGGCCAAAATCACCGGCCAGCCCTATCTTACTCAGCCAGACACACGAATGGACACACACACCGCCACCCCCCACCCCCCACCCCCAGCCCCCAACTAGAGGAAGCAGGAACCTTGCTTCGGGAGGGCAACCCCCATTTCCTCCTGCTCTGGTCACAGAAGGCGGGAAAGTGGGCAGCCAGGAAGCTCCACCCCGCGGGGGTGGGCGCAGCCGGAGCTTAAATGTGGCTGCAGGATTGGGGAGATCCTGCAAGATATAGCAGCCAACAGGTTAAGGGCTATAGGCCTCTTACTGCTCATTACTCACTCTGGGACCTCGGGCCTCAGTTTCCCATCTTAAAGTGGGTTTGTAGCGCATTCCTTACAGGATTCTGTGAGCCAATGCATGTGGAGCTCAGCACAGCACTTGGCCCATGGTGAAACCCAGGAAATGGAAGCCTCATTGTAACTGGGAGAGTGAGTGTTTCACCTACCAGGTGGAAGCTCTCCCAGTGTACCCCACCCTTAGAGGGGAGGGGAGGGGAGGGGAGGGGAGAGGAAGGCTAAGGGAAGTTGGGAGAGGACCACCTGAATTTTCTTTGAAAGTCAGAGTGGACTCATCCTTACTCTTAATCCAGAGAGACAAATCTCTTTTCATGGTAGCAGAATCAGAACCCTAAGGAATGCAAACATCCTTAAGGTCACCAATAATCACAGGATGCCTGCCACCAATAAACACTAATACTTCAGTCCAGCCTCAGGCCTCAAGGTCTGTGGCAGCCCAGAGAGGTCAGGAATACAACAGGCGAGGTGGCTCCTGGCTCCTAGCCCCACCACCTTCCAGGTGCTTGTGATTCTACTGCCAAACGCAACTCCTACCTTCATCCTCCAGTCTCTCTTCAACCCCTTCTCTCTCCCTTTCCTTATGAATATTAGTCTTCCTTTCCCCTATTATTATCCAACTGCTCAGCCTTGAGTCCTCACAGAAGCCCCCAAGTGGAGGGTCAGATATGATGACAGGAAACGGGCCACAGAGGTTCATTAACTTACCCAAGGCCACACAGATGTGAGGTGGCTCAGCCAGGGCCAACAATCAGGCCTGACCCCCAGTATGAAACCCTCTGTCAGACAGGCCCTTTGACTACTGTTTCTACATCTCCTCTAAGACTTCACCTGCAGCTCAGGTAGCACACCTCCAAGCACAGGTGTTTTAATATGCAGTATGGGAATGGGAGTGTGTGTTTAGAGAGGCGAAAGCTGATAAAGGTCTCTATTTGTTCATGTTATGATGCACCTGTATTTTGAGGATAAGAATCACCTGAAGTGCATGTTCTGCAACACTTGGGCCTCAGAACAGACCTACCTTCCTAGGAGAGTCTTCCCAGATGATGTTTATCAGAATAGTTTGGGGACCACTGGGCTAGATGAATTATCAGACCATTCAGGAAAATATCTTTGAAATACTAGTATAATATGTGGAATGTTCCCGGACTCTTGTTGTAAGCACTATATATATTACCTCATTTAATCCTAATAGTGCCCCTCTGAGAGAAGTACTATTATCTCCATCTTAGAGAGGAGAGGAAACTGAGTCACAGAGAGTGTCACCCCCAAGCAACTGTTAAAAATACATAGTACCCACTCAATTGGACTCTCCAGGAAAGGGGCCCTGGCATTGATATTTTAAAGCAAGCCCATCCCCTGCTCATTCTGTGGATCAGGTAGGTCTGGGAAACAGTGGGCTAGATGGTTGGTCATTAGGCACCAGAATCCAGCAACAGATTCGAGGTGGGGAAAATGGTTTATTCTCTCTCACTGAGATGGTGCAATTAATTGCTGCTCCCATCCCTCCACCTCCAACAGTGACCAGACCACCACCTCGGCCAGCGCCCAAAGTTGAGGCAGAGCCTGAGCCACAGCCACAGCCACAGCCACAGCCACAGCCAGAGCCAGAGCCACAGCCTATCAAGGAGGAACCCCCACCTCCTCCACCTAAGGCTCCTGGGGTTCGGGAACTCACTGTTGGCATCAATGGGTGAGTCAGCCCTGGCCCCTGATCCCTTCCTGAAGCCTCAGGACCCAGGCTTTCCTCTGATTACTAGCAGAATGGGGCACCTCCACATTTCTCACCATCAGTGCTTTTATTCTGTCCACTCTGGAGAAACAGGGAAAAGGTAGATAGGGCTCCACCCTGTCAGTGCTCATATCGGGAAGACAACAATCAATAAGAGCATTTGGTTTGGTGATGTGTCTATGAAGAGAATTGGGGTACAGTAAGACTGCACAGGCCAGGGTTAGCTGGGGTATCAAGGAAAATCTCTGCGAGGTGATACTGGAGTGAGGTCTGAGTGACAGCTGTGAAGCAAGCAGTGGCTCTCTGTGGTAGAAGTGGCAGCTCAGTGTGTAAAGGACAGACAGGACAGGACAGACGTGCTGGTGTGCAGCAAGCAAGGGAGAAGAAGAAAGAGTGCAGGGGAAAGCAGAAAGAGGCCTGATTAGGAGTTTGGATCCAGTTTTCTGACAGACTATGAAAGTTTTCAGGCCAAGAGACGTAATCTGACCCAAAGCCCTACAAAATCCATCTAGCAACATGGTTAGGAATGGGGCAGAGGATGGGTGAGGAAACAGGTAAATCAATTAAGAGGCTAGTGAGGTCATCTGAACAAGATGATAGTGGCCCACATAGGGCAGGTTACCTTCTTCCCCCAGAATGAGGAGTCCCACCCAAGTCCCCTTGAGGAGACTTCTGTTACCCCCTTCTCTCTTGTCCCCTATTCTGCCTACTTGCCAAGGATTCTGAAGACAATCCCATGACACTTGTCCCTGGACAGGTTTGGACGCATTGGTCGCCTAGTGCTGCGTGCCTGCATGGAGAAAGGCATTAAGGTGGTGGCAGTGAATGATCCATTCATTGACCCAGAATACATGGTGAGCAGCAGGCACAGGGTGGGATGGGTGGAGAGGGGGTTTAAGGGTGCTCTCCAGAAGGCTCCCAGCCTCAATGTGAAACCTTCATCAAAGCAGCGACTCCTCAGGAGTGCCCGCTTCCCCACCCCTGCCACCCCAAGACAAGGAGCCACTCTGTCTCCTACAGGTGTACATGTTTAAGTATGACTCCACCCATGGCCGATACAAGGGGACTGTGGAATACAAGAATGGACGGCTGGTGGTGGATAACCAGGAGATCAGTGTCTTCCAGTGGTAAGGGCAGCTGTCTGAGGCACACCTGCAACGTATTAGTGAGGGCATGTAAAGATGACATTAGTGGAGGTGTTGTAAAGAATGGCCTTCCAGCCTCTCATACAGGGATCATAACCCCAGACTGTGTGTGTGCATACCTCTCTGTATGGATATGGGGTCTCAGAAATGTCCCTGACCGCTAAAATGGTGGATGGAAAGATGTCCCACTGTACTCAAGAATTACTTTTTATTTAATGCACCATTTGCAAGCTTTCTCACAGGCAAACCAATTCAACATGTCTAAAACTCACCTCTTGATTTTCCTTCAACTCCCAAACCTATTCATCTCCCTTCACAGGGAACAGCATCACCATCTAGCCAACCACTTCTACTTAGTTCCTACACAGGAGCCACAAAGGCCTTTTTAAAACATCAACTGGACCAAGTTAGTCCCCTGCTTAAACCCTCCCATCACCCCACAAATAAAATCCCACCTCCTGATAGGACCCCACAAGCACTGAGCCCTTCACCTTAGCCTTCTTGTAACCTCAGCCACACAGTCCATTCACCTCTTGGGACCCTGACCCAGCACCTCTATACTTAAGCAATGTTTCTCATACCCATTTCACATAGTTTCCACTGATACTAATTTTCCTCCTTCACTTAAAGATATGTTTGGAATTGGTAAGTTGAAAGCAATATTAAATGTTTAATATGTTTCAAATACAAACATTTCCAAGGTATTAAAAAAAACTAAAAATTTATAAAATGGGAAATAGTAAACCTACTTTATTATTTTTTTTGAAATACATATAGCTAGTTTAATTTTTTACACTTGTTTTTCACATTTTTTTTTTACTGTTGTTCAAGTATAGTTGTCTCCATTTTCCACCCAGCCATCCCCACTTCCCACCCTTGATCCTACCCCCTTTGGCTTTATATTTCTAAGTAAATTGTTAGCCACTGCTGGCCCTGATTTTATATACACTTGTGCTTACATACTGACAAGCCTCCCCAGTGCTCCTCCCAGCAGTTCCACTCTCAGCCCCTCTCCTTTTATTTGCTGGGGAAGTGAATGATAAGGAGGGGCAAGGAAGGCTTGAGGTGAGGCAGTCAGGGTTGGGTGCAGGGAGTGGGAGGGGGGTGGAGATGGGGACTGGAGCATAGGTGTGAATGGGAGAACCTGCTTGATCCAAGTTTGAAATCATACCAAAAACAATTCCAGCACAGAGGTCATTACTCAGACATACCGTGTCCTTTCCTTCCTCAATCTGGGTACCATCATCCCTGGCACTTGCAGTATTCTCCCCCTCAACATGCACCCCTACTCAGGTGCTGCCTTCTCAGGTCACTACAATGGCTGTTCCCCGCCCCACCCCACTCTCCATCACTGTGCTGTTCATGTTCTCCGAGCACAAAAGATATCTTGCTTTTGTGTGTATTTTACCCTGCTCTACCCTTTCTAGTCAAGTGACCTTGGGCAAGAGGATTGAACTTCCTTGAACCTATTTCCTCATGTAACTGATGGGGATGATGATCAAATCCACCACATTCATAGTGGGTAGCACAGCCAAAGTTAATAGGTGTGTGGAGAACACTGGGAAGAGCATTTTCCCACAAGGCTGCAGCCTCCTTGCAGGAAGAGCTCTTGGTTTGTGTCATCACTGTTGTTCTGGCACCTATGGTGCAGGCTTCAGTTACACCCCCTACCCCCGTTGCTCCCAGGATATAGTGCCTGTCTTTAGGGACTTGCCGGCCTCTGGCAGCAGGCTCCCTATTGCAGAAGCTAAGTGATAAAGACAAGAGAGGTAAGAACGGCCATAGTGAGGTTGTCAGGGCAGGGAAACAGAAGCGGTGGGGCAGGCCTTGGCCTTCTAGGGTCTACATTCTAGATAGCATATGTAGAAAGGGCCTGACATGGTTGAGAGTAGTCAGGAATGGTCCCCTAAGGGCAAGGAGTGAGTGAACCCTGAGTAAAGGAGGTGGGAGCTTGTACATACTCAGGCATAGCAGGGGTGGGGCAGTCAAGAAAAATGGCCCACAAAGGGGGGTTGGGGTGAAAGGCATGACCAGCAGGGTCAAATCCATCTGGAACAGCTAGGTATTGTATGGGGTGGGGAGAACAGATAGGTGCAGGCCAGGTAGGAAGGTGTCTGGTCAGCCTTTCAAACCATAAAGGCCATGGACTATGACAGCAAGACAATGCAAGGGAGATTCACGCACAGTACTGCCACCCCTCCACAGCAAGCAGCCGAGAGATATCCCCTGGAAGTCTGTTGGGAGCCCCTTTGTGGTGGAGTCCACAGGCGTGTACCTGTCCTTAGAGGAAGCTTCCGTAAGTGTGGGAGAGATGCTCAGGGCTGGCCAGTGTGGGGGTGACACTCAAAAGCACCTTATGAATTCATGACACCATTGCTCCTTCCTCCTTCCCTAGAACCACATTGCAGCAGGTGCTTTACGTGTGGTCATCTCTGCACCCTCACCAGATGCACCTATGTTTGTCATGGGAGTGAATGAAAAGGATTATAACCCTGGCACCATGAAAATTGTCAGGTAAGGGGCAGCAACATCCTGAAGTGTGTGGGTGGTACCCAAGAGGACATGCCAGACCATAATGAGGAGGGATCAGGATCAGACTCAGCCTCCCCAGCCCCAGCCCCACCCCCACTGGTATTCCTTTCACATCCATCTGCTTCTCCTTCCCAAAGTCTTAACAGCCACCATGTTCACATTGCTCTAAAACTGTGACTTCTGGAGTACATGCTTGGGGACCTTCCCCCAGCTGCACCTCTGGTGCCTCCTTCAGTCTGAAGGCATCTCCCAATGATCCCCCTCATCCCCATCCTGACTCTTCACAAAACCAAGCCTACGAGTGTATCCCCAAAGTGAGGTAAGGGTGGTAGGGCAGCTCTGACCCTCACCTCACAGTGTCCTTGCATGCTGGGCTATTTCAGCAATGCATCCTGCACCACCAACTGCCTGGCCCCCCTCGCCAAGGTCATTCATGAGCGATTTGGGATTGTGGAAGGACTGATGGTGAGTTGAAGGCTGGGGAAGGATGGATGGCAGGGAAATGCTACCTCTTCCTCTTAGGACTTGCTTAGTGTGTGAAGTTAAGAGGAAGAGACCGGTTTCAAGAGGAAAGTCCTGTTAGTGGTGAACTCTCTTAAAACACTGTGTAACTTGAATGCAAGGCTGGACCCTGGCCAGCAGGTGTCCCTCCTGTGGTCTATGGTGGTGGCCTCACCAACTTCCATACCTGGTTCATCACACCAGGCCTAGAAAAAAGAGGTATAGGAGCTTAGGAGCAGGAAGGCCTCACCTCAGTCCCCTTCTCTCCAAGACCACAGTTCATTCCTACACGGCCACCCAGAAGACAGTGGACGGGCCATCAAAGAAGGCCTGGCGAGATGGACGGGGAGCCCATCAGAACATCATCCCAGCCTCCACAGGGGCTGCCAAGGCTGTGGGAAAAGTCATACCAGACCTCAAAGGGTATGAGGGCAGGAAGCTGCAACCAGGAAGGGGGGGCATACCTTGAAAGGACCAAAGTGGCCCCAGTCCTTGAGATGTTTAATGAGGAGAAGGTGGAGGTGAGGGGGGATGGACGGAGAATTCCCTGGGTTCTTATTCCCACTCCAATGTGGGATTCTCCAGGAAGCTGACAGGAATGGCATTCCGAGTGCCAACACCAGATGTTTCTGTCGTGGACCTGACTTGCCGCCTTGCCAAGCCTACCCCATACTCAGCCATCAAAGACGCCATAAAAGCAGCAGCCAAGGGACCCATGGCTGGCATCCTTGCCTACACGGAGGATGAGGTAGGGACTGAAGAGAGGAGACGCTGGGAAGCACCCTCTGGGGAGCGAGCACAACTCCCCACTTGCCAAGGAGCTGCTCGTAATGTATCAAGATAAGAACTTCAGGGCTGGGAAGATCAGATCTCCCTGACTCCAAATCTTTGCACTTGATGCTCCTTTGGTCTGGAAAGCTTTTCCCCCAGGTGGCTATATATCTGTCCTCACCTCCTCCAACTCTTTACTTCAGCCTTCCCCCTCAGCAAGATGTTCTTTTCATGGCCCTTTTCTTCACCTGAAATTTCATTTCATACTCACTGTTGATCCTACTAGTACATGTATTCCAAGAAGGTAAGGATTTGGAGACTGTCTTTTCACTTCCATAGCTCCAGCCATCTTCCCAGGGCCTGGAACAGAGCAGGTGCTCAATACACACTTCATGAACAAGACAACAGATCCCATTTTTCAATACTTGCTCAGGGCAACCCATGGGCAGGTGCCTTCCCTGTAAGGAACAGATGTCACTGTCCCTTTGCTCCCAGTAGTGTCATTTCTGGTGCTGTTTCTCCTTGTTTTAGCTCCTGCAGATCCAACCTCACACAGCCACCAGGATCTCTTGTTCTAACAAAATCAAATCACATCACCCTCCACTGCTGAAAACCTTCCTGTGGCCTTCTACCACACCAGGGCCAAACCTTCAGAGCCTCTGTGCTGGAGCTCCTGCCACCTCAGATACTACTGTCCTTAGAGGAGTTGGCCAGACCCTCCTAGGGATCCAGACCCAGCCTAGCTGCCTCCACTCGGGAGCCTCCTTGCCGGCCCATTCCAAGTGTCTGCATTATTCCCAGGAAATGATATTTATTGGTGCAGCATCAGGGTGTTTCATATCCAAAGCCTGGACACAGTAAGAGTCCACCAAATACTGTAAATGAATGGATGGCCAATATGCCTGAGTAAGAACCTGGACTCCTGGAGGTCCTTGCTCTGCGACCCACACTTAATCTTCAAAACTCTTACACGCAGGTTGTCTCTACGGACTTTGTCGGAGATACCCGCTCGTCCATCTTCGATGCTAAAGCCGGCATCGCGCTCAACGACAACTTCGTGAAATTAATTTCATGGTAAGGGGGAAGGCGTCTGACAACGTGAGGGGAGACTGGGGGTAATGGGGAGGGATGCCCTGACCCCCTCCCCCCTTTCCCCTTCCCAGGTACGACAACGAATACGGCTATAGTCACCGGGTGGTGGACCTCCTCTGTTACATGTTTAGCCGAGACAAGTGAAGTAGGACAGCCCCCCCTCCGTTTCCCAGTACTCCCGGTCCAGAATCTCTACCTCCCGTTCCCGCCCTCAGCTCCCCGGGGGAAGCAAGGCGCCCTGGGCAAGGGACCCGCGCCGCTGGGCCACCAGTAAAATAAAAACAGCTGCTCACAGCTGCGCCCCGTGTCTCTACGCCGTTCGCCGCGGGGTTCAGTGCGTTTCCCCTCCGGCGATGGCCACCCACCCACCGGTGGCCTCAGCTGGCGCTGACTCCCAGCAGCGGTGCCGGCTCGCCGCGGCCAGCGCGGCTGCTGGGTTCTGGGGGCAGGTTCCGGCGGCTGCTGGGTTCCGGCGGCCGCGCTGGGTGCCTCGGCGGCGCCCCGACGTCAGCGCGCCAGCGCCGCGGACTCCGCTCCCAGAAGGCCGCGCGGGCCGCGGCGGAGGCCGAGGCACCTGGTGGGACGCAGGTCCGGCAACGTAGGAAGACCTATGCTCCGCCGGCCCGGGGCCGCGCCATGACCTTGTTTCACTTCGGGAACTGCTTCGCCCTGGCTTACTTCCCCTATTTCATCACCTACAAGTGCAGCGGCCTGTGAGTGCGGGGCGGCCGCGGGGCGGGGAGCGCGGGCCTGGACGAACCCTCACTGCCCGCTCCTACAGGTCTGAGTACAATGCCTTCTGGAAGTGCGTCCAGGCTGGCGTCACCTACCTCTTCGTGCAGCTGTGCAAGGTAAGGACGCCCCGGGCGGCGCATCTAGCCCCCAGGCTCGGCAGACCCAGGGATCCACCCTGCTCCAGTTTCACTGTGTGGGATGGTTCTCAGCACTACACGTAGAAGGTGAACTTTGGGAGGGTGGAACCTGAGGAGAGGCATCCAAGCAACTTTTGCGTAGCTATTTTTGTAAAATTGAGAAGACACAATTGTCTAGTTAAGAGGGGTTTTGTATGGTTAAGAACTGCTAACCATCACGCTGACTCCAAATGCCCAGGCACCTCACCTATAGATCTGACTGTGATCCCCTGTGATCACCATAGAGAAACTTCCAGGTCTCTACCCTTCATCTCCCCGGGTCCTGTACTCTTGCCCTCATCTGGTGGTTCCTCTCCACATGGGAAGCCTGGAACCATGTACACACTAACTTCCCACAAAACTGCCCTAGTTTGTCCCCCTCACCTTGAGGCGACCTTTGTTTTCTGTTCTCAGATGTTGTTCCTGGCCACTTTCTTTCCCACCTGGGAAGGCGGCATCTATGACTTCATTGGGGTGAGTGAGGCAAGGAAGGCAGGAGGGGTGGGGAAATGAGGCCCCCTGGCACCTGTGCTTAAGCAAGCTTCAACCTAACCCACAGGAGTTCATGAAGGCCAGCGTGGATGTGGCAGACCTAGTAGGCCTGAACCTTGTCATGTCCCGGAATGCCGGCAAAGGGGAGTACAAGATCATGGTTGCTGCCCTGGGCTGGGCCACTGCGGAACTCATTATGTCCCGGTGTGTGCAGCAGCCTGGAGCTCAGATTCCAAAAAAAAGGACACCTGGGTTTCAGGGAGGTTCTGTAGGGTGGGGGGCTCAGGTTTTGGGTGCTGAGGGTTGCTGGGTATTGGAGAACCCTTCCCTTTGCCTTCTTCAGTTGCATCCCCCTCTGGGTTGGAGCCCGGGGCATTGAGTTTGACTGGAAATACATCCAGATGAGCATTGACTCAAACATCAGTCTGGTATGTAGTCCCACTCTCCTGTACATGACTTTTTGGTGGTGGCGCTAATCCTCAAGGCCTGGCCCTGACTTCCTGCCTCCCTTCAGGTCCATTATATCGTTGCATCTGCCCAGGTGTGGATGATAACACGCTATGACCTGTACCACACTTTCCGGCCAGCCGTCCTTCTGCTGATGTTCCTCAGTGTCTATAAGGCCTTTGTCATGGAGTGAGCTGGGTTGGGTTCAAGGCTGGGTCCAAATGGGGATGGGTTATCTTTTTTCCTTCTTTCATTGTAATATTTCCCCACAGGACCTTCGTCCACCTCTGTTCCCTGGGCAGCTGGACGGCACTTCTGGCCCGAGCAGTGGTGACGGGGCTGCTGGCCCTCAGCACCCTTGCCTTGTATGTTGCCGTTGTCAGCGTGCACTCCTAGGCTTGGTGTCCCACGTACCTTTTCCTTGTCTCCAGGTTTTGATGAAGTAAACAGTATTTGGAAAGTTGTTTTTGCCTATATCTCTCTCTCCAGAACTGTATACCAATACCATGCTCACCTACATACCAGAGTCCCTTGTTCTGGCTTTGGAGCCAGATGGACAGGCTAGGAAAGTAGCTGGCCCTGATTTGTCCAGTGTTCCTAGAGAAGTTCTTCAGCTCCTTTTTTCCCTAGAATAGACCAAGGGCTTGACGTATATAATCTTTGACCAGTGGTAAATCAGAGAATAGGTGATAGGGAGCTGGAATCCAAAAGAGGGTCCATGGGGACTTTTCACAGCCTTAAATCTCGCCCTCTCCCACATGGACCCTTCCCCAGCTAGTCACTTCCTAGACACCTGTCTCTAATCTCCTTTGATCCCCTTTATATGACAGCCAAAGAGATCTCTCTGAAACCCCAGTTTTACTAATCCTAGCCTGAGAATTCTTAGGGTGGAGCTCAGAGACAGTGGCAGCCAAATAGAGCATTTGAGTCCTTCAATTTAGGTATTGTCCTGGAAGCCACCCTCCCTACCCCAATCCTTCCTTGATCAAGTGGGTTCAGCTCCCTGCCCCATTTTTTCCCCCTCCAAGAAGTATGTGAGAATCAGGGCTTTGAATGTCATGTTTAAGCTCCTCCTTGATGCAAATCCTGCCAACTGAGGAAAGTGTTCACCAGCTCTGGTATTCCCAGTGGTATCCCCCAGGTGTGGGATAGGGCAGTTGTCCCCTACCTCACTCTGTCAGACTGTGGAGGTCCTGCCATAATGTAATTTAACCCTGGGGTTAGAAAAGCAGCATGCACAGCTCTGTTCAGCTCCATTATGAGACAGTCTTGGTGTTTTCAGAGGGAATATATAACTACCATCTAGCCTAAACCCCTCCTTGCTCATAGTCAAGACAGGGTCCACAGGTGTCTTGGGAGAAGGGTGGAGAAAGCAACTGATTGGTCACCCTGACTTTGACATGAAAAGGGATTACAGTGGGCCCTCTCCGAGCCCAGGTGGGTGGATATGTAATAGAGTTACTTTCTCCCATACTTCTACCCCATACACCACCTAGCTCTCGATTCTTACTGGAACAAGTGAAGTTTGCAGAAATTACTCAACAATTATTTGCTGAGCAGGAATGCTGACCCAGGCCCTCTGCTGGTGGCCAACTCTCTGTGAACTAGTCCCAGCTTTCATGGAATACAAAGAGACCAGAATTGTTGGGGGAGGTTGGGGGACAGGGTGGGGCCCAGGCCAGAGAGATCAGGACTGTGATGGGTGAAGCCTGGCTGGAGTGGTAGGACTGGTGAGCTAAACTACATTTATTAGGGCTATGATGGTAAAACATGGGCTGTAGTGGCCCAGAGGAGCCAGCTGACAGACTGAGGGGTACACTGGGCTCCCTGGAAGAGAGGTTTATCAGCAGAGACCTGAAAGATGAGTTAGTGGTCAAAGAGGAGAAAAGCAGATGTCAAGGTTTAAGGTCTTAAAGTCACAACCTTTCCAGCAAAATATAACTGGTTGGAACCTGCTCAAGGGACTTGTGAGACAGAAGTCAGCAGGGGCCAAATACCAGAAGGCTCTGAGGGTGAGGAGTTAACCTCGGGGCAGTGGGAAGCCATGAAGAGTTCTAGGTAGGGGACAGACAGGGTCAGATTTAGCTCTGGGAAGATCTCTGTGGCCACTGTGGGTGGGGAGACAGACCAGAAGATCAGGACAGGGATGACAAGTAGAAAGAGAGGCCATGAGCTGATTAGAGGTGGTGGTGACCAATAGGCTGTATACTTTTTCCTGTGGGGTGAGGGGGTTGACAGGTGCAGAAGGACTAAAGAACTCTGATGAGTCCTCAGAAGGACTCATCACATTTTCCAGGGAGAAGGAGCCCACTGATGGGACAGTGTGTGGGAGCAGGTTGGGAGGGTGATGCAGAGGCCAGCATGGGTGCCCTCAGACATGCCTGTTGAGGCTGGAGGCAGATAATTACTGCAGAGACAAAACAGAGGGACAGGGAGTACTGTGGTAAAGAAGGAGAAGCCGGGAGCCTGACCAGAGAGACTCATTAAAGAAAAGGGAAGAAAGGGGACCAGGAAAAGGTGTGGCCAGAGGGAGGTGGAGGGCCCAGGGACAGGGGAATTTTTGGCAATTGGAAGCTTAACTTGAAGTGAGAGGGTATAAGGAACAGCCTGTGAATTTAACCTCCAGGAGTTGGTTGGGATGCCCACTGAGGCATCAGAGGAGTGAACAAGTGGAATCAGAATGGAGACACCTGTGAAGTGCAGGCAGAGGGGGCTGCCTGAGTTGGAAAAGATTTTGATACCCTGTGTCAGGATCCTCCCCAGAGGGAGGATGGGTGCTGAGAAAGGAGAGATCCCAGAAAGGTGGTTAAAGCAGTACTCTGAAGGGTACCTGTGGTCACATCCACCTTGCCTTTAAATGCTGTAACCCTCAGCAAAAAAATGGGAATTCATTTCCCCAAGGAAGGGTTATTGAGTACCTACTATGTGCCAGGCTGTTTCAGGAACTGGTGATAAGGCTCTGAACAAATAGTCCCTAAGTTGAAGGATCGTGTGACCAAAGGGACTCATGAAAACCACTTAAGATGGTGCCACACTGAATTAAAAAGCGTCACTGTG